AACATTTTTAAAAGGGCCTACACTACATTTATATTTGTCTAACCAAGTTACTGAGTTAACCAATATAGCACTAGGACTCTGTCCCAAACAGAGAATCAAACCTCAGTCTGTTGGGTGGAAGGCAGTGGTGTAACCCACTACACCATACCAACAGTAAGCCAAAGACAAGAATTTATCTTTGAAGTACTTCAAGATGTGGTGCATGTGACCATAAAACATAACCATTGCAGTCTTTTGTTTGTGGTTTGTATATACCTAGCCATGCGAGGTGTCAAAGGCTTTCCACCTGGCTGTGGGCCAGGTGTTTGCGCCTTTAGGTGGAAATTTGTTTCACTATCAGCAATCTGCTTTCCAACTTAACCCCCCTGCCCCTGCACGCCACCTTGCCAAAACTCCCTGCCCAGGCAAGCACATCATAACCGTACCAATAAACATCCCTGAGCAAGACTCCTAAAGCTACATTAGCTTACCTCTGACTGGAAGCAGTTCTGGATAAGAGTGTCTGCTAAATGGCGTAATACTATGCTTTTTTGTTTGTTTTGTTTCCTAGAAATGTTCAATTTTATTGCCAACCTATCATTGGACAAACAAATCTAAGATGGTTTAACAAAATAAATAAGTAAAGATGACTATAAAAGCACCTGTTAAGAAAACTCAAGTATTCTCAATGCATCATGCTGCCTTAAAATTTTGAGCTTGAGTTTGAATTTAATATCAATACACATGAAACAAGCATGGATGCTATAATAAATATTCAGAGGAGGGGAGGGAAGAGAAACTAAAGCAAGTGCAAGCTACTGAGGTCTCACAGCACCAACTTCTTATCAGAGCAAATTCACTAGTTCGGTAAATATGAACCCTTTTAAATGTGGAAATTTATGTTCTTCAATCTGCTTTTCTCATTTAAGTGATTTCTGAATGCTGTCATTGGATTTATTTGATATGTAAAGAACATGAAAAGAACAAAACTGGAAATTTATAGGTTTTTTTTTAGTTTGTCTCACAAATTCTCTTCTGAGCAAGCAAACACTTAAATAGGAATATACTTAATACATGAGTCACATTTCACATAATCACTTCAAAATCAGTTACACCCCTGAACTTGGCTGATTAGCTCGGCTGCGGGGCCGCAACTGAACCCTTCTGTGACTGATAGTTAACAGGCTCCTTCAATTGTATTTAGAGTTAAGCTTTAAGGTGTCGTACTAACTGAAGGATTTATTGCAGAACTGCAACATACAAAGGTAATGCAGTTCTCAATATGCTACTCTAAGGTTATACAGGATTCAAATGATTTTTAAGCTAGAGCTGTGATTAAAACCAGTGTAGGAAAGTGAACATACACCACCGTTAGCTTTGCGCTAACATTGTTAGAAATTAGAAACACATGCCTTTTTGGTCCGCCTTGTAAGTTTACAGTTAGAGACTAAGGCTCCTCTTTGTGTTAGTCATCCTGGTCCTGGTCAGTGGTGGTCCTATGGTGGTCCAATCCCATTGATGGACATAACAGAGCGTGATGATAAATTATATAGTCAGAAAGTGGATCTTTGTGGTAGGTCTTCTGATATGATGGCCAATGAGTGTAGATACAAGCTAGGTGTCAAGCTGGAAACTCAGTGTATATATAACAACAGAAATCATTAATCGAAAAGGAAATGTTAGCTTACTGCAAAACACACCTCAAACATCAATTGATTTCAAAATGAGATGGAGAATTAATGAAAGCTTGGCTCCAATTTATTATACAATGAGTGACACGACAACAACATAGCAACACACAGTATTTAAGCAATACAAAAATAAAAACTGCCAAGCTTCTCAATCGATTGCTCATAAAAATCATCTTGTAAATTAAAGTAATTTAATATTGATGGAACATGACTGCATAAAGATAAGAAAATATGAATATATATACACACACACACACATATATATATATGTATGTGTGTGTGTGTGTGTGTGTGTGTGTGTGTGTGTGTATATATGGTTTTTACACATTACACTGCATGACCAAACACTAGGCCATTTTAATCAATGAATGAAATTAGCTTTTTGTGCAAATAAAACTGAAAATAAACTGAATAACATCTGCAAATCCGACCACTGGTATCTGACCGGTGGCATTAGCAGCTGCACATCAAGTCTACAAAGTGACAAAAGTGTAAGTTTAAAAGTACTAATATTACTGTTAAAATATGTCAAGCTCCTATTAATTAAACCAACAGTCCAAATTCATCACAAGGGCATGACTTGGCAAACTGACACAGTAGCTGACAGCCACAAAATGACTGCACTAATTTGTGCTGAAGGACAACCACGGTGATTAATCCTGTGCGTCACTCACTCGCTGTAAGCCTCTAGTCCTGAACACGCTAAGAGGCATTACGTCTTTATAACTGACTCTGGGCCTCCACTAAGCTACACTCTGGCTTATTTGGTGGAAATTTCATTAAGGGATTGCACACTCCACATATATGTGGTACGATATAAAACTCTGTTTAGAAACATACAGTCTACTTAATAGGCTTCATATCCATTTAACTCAAAAGATACAAGACACTAAGGTCAACTTAAAACATTAAACTTAGCAGCTTTGTTTTTAAGTCTTTATAATAGGTCAGTCATTAGTTTGCTTTAGAATGTTTCCAGATCTTCCCTAATAGATAACGGATCCATATCATACTTTATGAAGTTATATTTCTATGCGCAGTAGTAATATTAATATAACCTGACCTAAAATATAGCATTTTAAAAGTTTAAAAGCACCATAAGACTCTTAATTGGTTACAATTATCCCCCATTGATAAGGATGCACAATGATATCAGAATATTTAGGAGACGCTGGACTATCAAAGTATCAGATATTGGCATCGGCCCACATTTCCCATATAGGTGCATCCCTGCTTATTGCTGTAAAGAGCTGAAAAGTCAGGAAATCATTTGATTCTTTGTCTCTTACATTGGCTTCAACATATAACAGCTCCCCAGAGTGTGCTAGTAAATGAGATTTCTCACGTCTTTCCTGTGCAGGAAACAAGTGAATCATTCACTTCCCGATAATTTAGCAGCTTGAGTGCTTGTCCCCTGTGTATTATTAGATTTCCCTCTGCTCTAACATACCTAATAACAAACTTTTGAGCTTTTCAGCTCCTGAGCTGAAGTTGGTGTTTTAGCAGGAAAAAACATTAAAATATGCCACATATGGGTACTCCAGCATAGGGTTTGGTGGAAGCAGTGGGTGCACTGGACCCGCTACTTTATCAGGTAAAATAAACCCAATTGAAAAGATAAGATGTCTCATTGTTCTATTTAAAAGCCCACCCCCACTTTTTCCAGTATGTATTTTTTCCATTTTTAAAGTTTTTGTGCAGCAAAAAATCATGTTCCATCCTTTTTTATCCCTAACAAACAAGCTGTTTTTCTTACCGTGCCTTTCAGACTGCTATATTGTCACTGTCAAACAAAAACAAAAGAAAACAATTTTCTCAACTTTTTGTGATTTTTAATTTTCTACATCATTTGTGTTCAAAATAAAATGAAATGGAAATTTAATGAAGAATGGTTGAACAGAAATGCTCAAAAAAGTGCTTGGAATAAAACCTCTTCACACTGATATTAAAAGATAAGAACATTTTTGCTTTGTGATGGAAAAGACCGAATGAAACATTGGCTGACTAGAGAGCTTGGAGCCCTCCTAAAAAGGTAATATAGGGAAGCAAACTATGGACTGTATGCATTGGACCGTCTAATGGGGGTGAACGTCTGAGCTCACAGAAGGGATTAGATGACAGTTTAAGTTATAGCTGAGGTTCACTCTTGTATGCATATGGAGAGTTGTGTAAGATGGCCCTATGGAGAGTTGCGCAAGAGGGCCCTGTAAGGAGAGAACAATCTGGTAAGAGTCAGACCAGAGTGCGTTTTTTAAAAAAAAGACATCAGACGCGTTTGGGTTTAAAGGTTACCAAAAAAAGTGTAAGGTTTGGATATGATGGGGACTAAAATGGTGTGGAACTGTGTAAAAGGGGTGGGAAAATCACCTCATCACCCCAGAGGGGAATAAAAAGGGACGTTTTAAGATGCTCTTTTCATTGTGGTTGACCAGGAACCAACTTGCCATGTGATGCTCAATAAAGCGAAGGCCTTTTCCTTCCTTCCACAAGAACTCATTTCATTCCTTTTTATCCTTTTTCATTTTTGTTGATATTCTTTGATTCTTTTAATTCTTTTTGAAGACTTCAGTTTACAGACAGTTATTAGGGTAATAATATAGACAATATTAGAGTTGCTTATAAATGTCCAGACACAGGGCAAAAAGAGAGAGTTCTTGGCTGTCACACTTATCTTGTAAAGTTACCAATTTGGAGATACTTGTTTTTCTTTGGAAAGCGACAATATGTAAAGGACCTCTGCTCTGATTGGCTGGACTGTATTGTGCTGTTTTCCTTATAACTTCAACATGAATGGGCGAGCTTGACTGCTTTAGGCTGAATTTGCAGATACATGAGAAAATGCGTTTGGAGCTTTCACATATGTACTTTTTGGAAGTGAACAGTAGGTAAGGACTCATAAAGGGTGGTGTGCTTGCCTGGGCAGGGACTTGAACCCCAGTCTTAGTTTCAGTTTAGTTCACGTTTTTCACAGGGCTGCTTTTTGCCACAAGTGGAATTGCTATGGGCAGTTGCAAGTCACTAGGAGCCCCTGCAAGGTAATGCTTTTTAGTGTTTAAACACAGTTTTAAACTGTCCTAGTAGAAGTAGAATGACACTTAGGGCCCCCAAATAATCAGAAACAGTCCAGAAATGGTGTTTACGTGCTATCAGCGAATGTACTGGCTGGTGATATGTCTCAACATGTGAGTAATGTGGAACTTGCCCCATTTCACCACATGTATATTTATGACTTTCTCAGCACAATCCTGTGGTAACCTCAGAAATTTACGAGTTTACAAGGACAGCGCAAACACACCCTACTTAACCATAATGCATCACTGAAGCCAGTCACTACAGCACAGTGCAGACAGCGGACGGGTCGTGCTTGCTGTCCCAGTGCTTGCTATCCCTGAAGTCCTCGGGATACAGTGCAGAATATCCCACCGCCTCCACTGACCTCTGCTTCTGAACGCTGTGTAGTAGGATGCGATACGTTCCCGTGATGGGGCTCCGCAAGTCTGTGCAAGTGTTGTTCTGCAGGTGTGAGCTGCTTATGCCCAAGTCCTTAAGCGCTTTTGTCACTTCTTGTTCCTCTGCACACAGATTGTGGGACGGGTCTACCAAGTGGTCGGGCGTCAGGCTGAGGGTGGGATAAGGCTTGGGGTAGTCGATGCCACTCAGCCAGGAGCAGGTCATTAGCTGGGCAATGCTACTGCGGTCAGGAGGCACAGGCCTCAGCATGCCTTTGATGGCCTGCTGACACGGCTCAGGCACGTACTGGGGGATGGTGTACGACCCCTGCAGGATGCAGCGCTTCAGTCGGCCCAGGTTGTCCGCATGGAATGGCATGACAGCAGTCACCATGAAGTACAGCAGAACTCCCAGGGCCCAGATGTCCACATAGCGGCCCATGTAGCTCTTATCTTTGAAAAGCTCAGGTGCTGCGTAAGGGGGAGAGCCGCAGAACGTGGTCAGGATGTCGCCCGGCCCGCTGACTGTGCTGAAGCCAAAGTCGCCTAATTTGATGCAGTAGCTGGTGGTGTAGAAGATGTTTTCTGCCTTCAGGTCACGGTGGACAATGTTGCTGTCGTGCTGGAATGGGAGAAAAGAATTTATTACTAATTTCAGTGCACTTTAACTAAAAGATCATTAGTCTAGATTGACTACAACTTGACATCCCGTCTCTCAGTTAAGGATTTGTAGTCAGTCTGTTCTCCTGTAAAGGATTTCTGGTCAGTAGCAGTGAAATAATCCCCTTAAAGGCTAATTTTACACTACTTTCCCTGTAACCTAATTCTCTTCCAAAGTTTGCTTTCCTTGGTATTGTGTTGGAGCTATAAAGGCTAACGTAGCCAGTGAGTGGCAAAAGCATATGCCCCACCAATTAGCATCATCCAACTTGCCTCGAACCGAATCAACTTGTTAAATAATCTCTAGTACACTTGCTTTTCTTGTCTCTGACACTGTATTCCATATTGCTATCTAATCTATCTACAAGTACTCCTTTAATGGAGCGCTGCAGCCTAAAAATAGCATTTAACATGTGGTTTGCTAAGTTATGTATGTTCTTTATCACAGCATCGCATTGGAAATCCCCCACAGACATGATATCCAGGCAAATAAAGTTAGCCATCTGACTTCTGCATTAGCTAGCTAGCATGAAAACAATGCAAAATCTCCCCCCACCTTCAAGACACATCATCTGAAGGGGTTTTTTCTAGTTTTTAAACTGGAAAATCTTACTCACAAGACTGTAAGAGGTGAGTAAGCATAGTTACAACAGTTAGCCCCTTAAAAGGCCAGAGCCCACCAGCAGGCCCAAAGTGTTATTTCACACTTCTATAACCTAAGAATACATGAGCCAGTTTACATTGAAGCACCTGTAGTTACTGAATAATAAGCCTTAGTATGTAATAAACCTGGGATTCTGATGTGTTATTTTTTCATTTTGGCCACAGCGCTCCTGTAAATCTGAATTTTGTCTTTATTTTGTCAGTTATCATGGAAAACAGTATGTAAATCAGTATCAGGAAAAAACTAGCCTATTTGAGATCACTTAACTCTTTAATGTGACTGATTTAAGCACTCAGTTTGGCACAATGTTAACTGGTGTTGCATTACTTGTTAGCTACATTGGCCTCATAGATCTGGGGCAAAACTATAAAGGCAAACTTTAGGCACTAACCATGTTGATACTACATTTGGTGTCAGGATTTAAATGTTTAAACATTTTATGGGAGTACTGTGCTTTTCTTACCATGTATTTGACGGCAGAGATGATCTGGGCAAAGATGAGCTTGCTCTCCAGGTCTGGTAGGCGCCCCCTGGTGCTGATCCGTGAGAAGAGGTCTCCTCCACTGCCGTACTCCATAGCCAGGTACAAGTGCTTACCTGTTTCTATCACTTCATAAAGACGCACAATATTTGGATGCAGCAGTCTTTCCATGCAGGAGATTTCAGAAGCAAATAAAGTCTGTGTCTTCTTGTCCAGGCGCATTTTATTAAGAATTTTGACTGCAACACGCTCTGGGGAGAGAGAGAGAGAGAGAAGCAGGGGGGCAACATTAGCAGAGAAAACAAGTGACCGTATTATACAAAGGTATGGTAGAGAGAGTTATGATGAGGGGGGGGCACAAGGCCAATTTAACTGGAATCTTCTCCAATTTTTAATATGAAGTTCAGCAAACTATGTGCCTAATAGGGGTTTGCAGTCATGGACCCCCGCATTCCCCCAGTTTTCCTCCAGGCATCTGCACAGTGCCTCCAAACAGATTAAAGAGATGTAGAAAACATGTTTGCGTTCACTAAGGGGGTCCTGCAAAGCTGATGTGATTACAAAGCGCTTATGTGAGCAGATCACCTCTGGTCCTGGATATGTGCTGTTGCTGTTGAAATGTACTGACTATTGTCAGGGCCTGTAAACCAGAGGGACTCCAAACTCTTTATAAGCACAATTTTAAAGTAGGTTAAACAGCAGAATGTGCTTAACATATTCCATGCAGTATTGTCCAAACATTAGAGACCACCTGTCATTTATGTAATTTCCAGTCACTGAGCACAAGTTTTTCATTTTTCAGCATCAGTGCAATAGTAGAACCCTTAGATTTAGAGGCCTAGCCAAAGGGTGGCCAGGGATGGCCAGCTAGCTTCTGGCCACCCCAGCAAGTGAAAGTGTGACAGTCAGACATCATTAATAAAACATCAGTTTTGCTTTATAGTGCAAACCTGCCATCAGGGTACCAATCAGCTGTAAGAGTTTGATGATGCTTCATTAATATCTTGCTGTGATTGGCTAATTTCCTGAGCAAACAGGCAGTGCTGCTCATAATATATCATAGCTACATTATGACGTAGGCTGTGTGATGATAAGATTAATTAACTATCAAACATTAGTCAGTTATAATCATTTATCATGCTAATTACTTTTTACAGTTGCATGCATGTGTTGTAATTTAGCAATAACAGAATTTCCTAATGAATGATTAGAATATGAATCAACAACACAGTTTGGTCTACTAGTTTACTTTTGGCTTTATAATAACTTTTTTATAAATAACTTTTTTGATGCATGCAATAAACAGAGAAAAAAAAATAATGCATCACTTTTTATGTCATTTTAATACATTAACACTATTTTTTTCCTAGCAGTGCACCACCCCAATAATATCTCTGGGGCTTCCCTGGCCACCCCATTAGTAAGTCCTAACCACACCTCTGCTTATATGTAACAATAGCTAAATATCATATCAAATATTTTTAGCATCTAGTGTGTCCATTCTTTACCTTTGTTACAGCTCACATTCTTTTCAAAAGTCTTGATTTCAGTTTTTCAAATAAATCTGCAGGGAAATTTTTCAGACTTCCAAAGTTCAGTCTAAGAAGTTGGTTGCATTTTCTGCTTCTCACAATCCAAGTAATCCCAAACACATTCAGTGATGTTGAGGTCTGGACTCTGGGGTGGTCAGTCCATTGTTCTGAAAAAAAAACAGCGGCTCCTTTTTCTTCTTTTTTGTCTATTTCTTTTCCTTAGTAACAGCTTCTTGACAGCTGTGCAACCTTTCTGTGCTGAGTAGTGTTGAGTCATCTTCTCACAGTGGAAAGATGGATGTGTGGAATTTTTCAGATCCACATTTTCCTCAGATCCACAGATTTTCTCCTCTCTCTCAAAGATGAAAGCTTTAAGTGCTGTTTATCTGATGGTGAGTTTTGGTGGTCTACCAGGTCTGCATGGCTGTTAGGAGCCATATTTACTAAATAGCCTAAACTCCAGTTTTGGAAGTTCCTGTTTTCCTTTGGCTTTCCTCTTCCTTATGCAAGCAGATAATCTAATCTCCACAGAAATATCAATTGAAAAATGAATAGCTTGTGCTTAATGGCTGCTTGACTGAAAGTTAAATAAACAACCAGCTTTCAAGACTGTATACTGCTAAAAATGCACTGTTGTACAAATAAGACAAGATTTGCATGGATGTTCCTGTGTTTTAACATGCGGCGCCAATCCCATCACCACTGCAAATCACATCCAATCGCATAGAAGGAGCCACAAGGCAGTATTTTGGTTTCTACTTAGTTAATTCTAGTGCAACTAAACGGATTAAGTGCATTAAGAATGAAAGCATCAATCAAGTTCCTTGAAAACAATATTATTTTGTTAGAATCAAATTTGATTGACTACAGGTGTAACTTGAGTAATTTTAGCACTCTTTACAGTATAAAATGCCACAGTTCTCACCTTTAGTTAAGGCATGAACGCCAAGTCTGACTTGAGAGAAATTGCCGGTGCCTATTTCCCCTCGGAGTTCGTAGAAGGCTATCCGTTTGCCCAGAATGATGTCATTGACGACTCGTTCATTGTGGGACATGTCATAGACGACCCTCTCAAATGGCGTCTGCTTCATTTGTTGCTCTGCTGTTAAAGCTGGTACTTTGGACGCCGGCAGTGCAGGTCTGGTGGTTTTGACCGCCATTTCGTTCTTTGTTTTCTTATCCGCATGCCTTTTTGGCCAGACCTTGTGGAATTTGGTTCCTGAGAAGAAAAGATGTGAGGTCAGTAAAAGTCATTGGTCAATCCAGGGCCATATACTCTGAAACAGGCCTTCTGATTGGCTTTTATTACATGTTTATTTCAAGTCAATGGGTAAATTATTGTTCATAGAAATCAACCATGTTCTACAGGTGCTTCAGATACAGATTAAGTTAAACAACTCCTGGAGTATATTTACATTATAGCATATGGAGACACTATAGATACAGATTAGTTTATTATTTATGAATCAGTGCCACAAAGAGAGTCATACATTCATCAGTAACCAAGAACGTCAGTGAGGACAAATGTGAATGAAAGTGCTCAGACAGTATTAGCTGTACTGAAGGAAGCGTGAGGATGACCTAGCCTAATGCTGCCCGTCACTAAGTCAGTGTGGGTCACTCACTGATCATCTCATGCTAGTCAAGTGCAAACAGTTTAAACATATGTTTAGTAAATTTACCCACTATCCCTACATTTCTAAATGATGTTAAATGGTTCATTACATGCCTTTCAACTTTACGTGACTTATTTCTAGAGTTTCAGGTGGAAAAACAATAATGGGATTAGCCTCTATCAGTCTTTCCACCCTCTTAAGGTCCTGTATCAGTGCCAAATATTGGAGTTCACGGGAACTGTGGCCTTGCACCTGAAATGTCTACTGCTTTTATAGTGTTCTCTATTTTAACACTAAGAGCAAAGGATGCTTTTAAATACAGTTAGATAGATTCCCTTATGTTACACTGATGAAGTATAGGAGCACCAAATTAAGGCCTTAGGCCTTATTTTCTCAAAATGTTCAGTATCTCATAGTATTAGCTTATTTTCTTAACATTCTGACTCAGTATCCCATCAAATAATGATGTTTCTTTCAAAACATTGATGTAGTATCTCAAACTAAAGCCTTTTTTCTTAACATTTCGACTTAGTAGCTCAGAAATAATGACAGATTTTCTTAAAAATTTGACTTAGTTTCTCAAACAAATGACTTATTTGCTATGAAGTTACTACTTTCTCTAAATTTCATAGTTTGTTATCTTGACATCTTTGAATTCTGTGTTTAACAACTCAAAAAGACAGTTGAAGGAAGCATGAGGATGACCTAGCCTAATGCTGCCCATCACTAAGTCAGTGTGGGTCACTCACAGATCATCTCGTGTATGTTAATCATATATCTGCAAGTGCAAACAGTTTAAACATGTATTTGGTAAACTTACTCACTATTTCTACATTTCTAAATGCTGTTAAAGGGCTCATTACATGCCTTTCGACTTTACGTGACTTATTTCTGGAGTTTCAGGTGGAACAACAATGATGGGATTAGCATCTATCAGTCTTTCCACACTCTTAAAGTCCTGTATCAGTGTCAACTGTTGGAGTTCACAGGAACTGTAGCGTTCCAGATGCAGTGTGTACTGTTATAATGTCCTATATTATTACACGTTGGTCAGCTTAAATTTTTCAAAATTTAAGATGATGATCTTAAATTAAGGTCTTAATTTCTCAAAATGTTCAGTATCTCTTCTCATCTTAACATTTTGACCCAGTATCTCATCAAAAAATGACATTTCTTTTAATAAACAGACATAGTATCTCAAATTAAAGTCTTACTTTCTGAACATTTTGACTTAGTATGTCAGAAATAATGACTTAGTCTCTCAAAAGTTGACTTTGTTTCTCAAAAATGACTTATTTACCTTGAAGTAATGGCTTTCTCTAAATTTAATAGTTTGTTATCTCGACATCTTGAAATTTCATGTTTACCAACTCAAACCTCTTAAAAATAAGTCATATTAGATATGCTAAGTCAAACTTTTGACATATTGCTGCCAGGAACAGAAAAACCTTTCTGTTTTTTCATCCCCTACTTGGTCTAAATAGGCTTCCATACTGATGTCATTCTCGTATTTAAAAGATAACACTGCATTTTCGCATTTGAGTGCAATAAATGTGATATGTATGGTAACATTTTTAAATCATTTTGAAATTTGACTAATAAACTAAACATTAGAGTCTGTAAAGCTCCATAAACTGACCAACTATTGCCAATTTGATTGTTTTATCTCAGAAGCTACTGACTGCTTCATCTGAATGACTGACCATCCATTAGAGACAGCTTGGGTCAATATGGATGAGCGTGACAGCATTGAAGGAGCAGCCATCTGTCTGAGGGATTAACAGTGAGGTCAGGATAGCCCAGCAAAACACAATTCACTTCACCCCTAACCTTTCGCACTAGGCCTTCAGAGATTTCCTTATTACTAGTAATGATTCAATGGAGTGTTTTATGCAGGGAATGGATCACATAAAGGGATCTTGTATTTAAAATGGATCATCTTAAAGATTTATGTCATTTCATATGGATGCAAACAGCTACAGCAGTTAATTTTTACTGAAAATGATGAAAAGTGACTTAGCTATAGCGCCGTGATTCCAATGTTTTGATTTTAGACATATTAGTTTAAATAAAAACAAATAGTTTTCATATCAAACCCAAATGAGATTGCTAAATATTACAAGCTTTGATATGTACTCGTACTTAAAGTTGCATTTTAAAGCTTTCCTTTTATTTTTATAGTTCATCATGTTCCATTGCTTCCACCGTAATCCTAATTTATCTTTTGCATGCGTGGGCAGGACTGCATCACTGAAGGGGAAACGATGTTGCAGCAGTTCAGGATTATTGTCCAGTTTTAGAATCACAGGCTGCAGACTGGCTTTATTTCTAATTATAGATTACAGGAAATCCACTGAACTACTTTCAGCGCATGCTGCAGCGCTGTTTAACATGCTCAACTTTAACTTTTAGCTCATTTTTATTTCAAATTTATTGAATATTGAGTTTATTGAATAGTAAGAACATGTAGACTTGTTGCTGTTAGATTCAATAATTATTTATAACTGTCCCGTTCTAAAAATGATCACAAATTAAGATGAATTAAGCAAATTACAAATCTATTTTCTATTTCCTCAATCATGTGTTTTTGTTTCTTTTCCTCCTAATATAAAAGAGTAGAAATGACCTTTATTTCTAATTTTTGATAAACTGATTGCTGGTAAACTGAGTAATCAAAAGAGTTTACCTGCTGGCAAAGTCAGCAAACCCTTTAAAGTTACTATTAAATTGAGCACAAGCCACATCAGTACAGTATTTTCAGCATAAACGTGGCAGACATTGTTCACAGGCAAACTATTAATGATATCTAGATAAAAACAAAAAATAAACAAGCGTTCAGCCACAAGACAGAAATAAACAGTTCAACAGGCCCTCAACATTTGATTATATTCTTCCTTTGTATGTAGAAAGTAAGCAAATGTGAGAATTACCTGGTAGCTGAGGGTCCTTCATCCTAGTACCTGTGCGAGAGAGCCGTCTACACTGAGGATGGAGGCGCTCTGTCTCTAAACCTCTGTAGATCACCAGTGTTCAATCCAATTAGGAGGATGTATTAATAAATGAGCCGCCGCACGCCTGTGGAAACACTGCAGACAAGCTTTATCCATGTGCAGCAGCACCTACACTGTGAAGCATGACTGAGGGAGGTAAAATGAATAATGTAAAATAGCCTATGTTTGTTACATATGTATGTGACTAACAGCAATTAGCAGTAACGTAAATTCCAAATGTTAGCATTCAGCTTCTTTTCAGGTACTTCTTTTGTGTCTTTTCCTAAGCCAACGTTCTAAACTAGAAAAGTGCATCTCCTGAAGAAAATAAAGAGTGATTGAGCAGCTTAAGCAGTTCCCAGGTGGTTGCTAGGTTGTTGCCGAATGGTTACTATAGTATTTTAGGTGGTTGCTATGGTTTCCGAGGTGGTTGCTAGAGTGTTGCTAGGTGGTTGCTATGGTATCCCACATGGTTAATAGAGTGTTTCTAGTGGACTTGTATCATCATGATTTAAGATGAGTGTACTCATTTTTGCCTCCATTCATTCCTGTGGGTAAAAATTGTTATGTAACAATGATTGTATGAAAACCACACATCTAGGCCTTCAGTTTGGGCCATAAAAATCAAAACACAGTCTAAAAAGGCCTGGAAAACATCTCTGTGATAATGCTAATTTCTGCTAGCGCTCCTATGGGATTATGGTATGTTAGTGCTAAGCTAGCAATGATTCACATGAACATTTTTTGGCAGTTCTAGATTAAATTAAACATTTGAAGCTTGTAAAAGACATTCTATGTTTAATTTGAAGCCTGTATGTCACAATTCTAGTGAATCTTTCAGTAAAGAGCTCTGGAATGTGTGGCTATTTACCATTTGACAGAAACCCAGTGGGTAGACTACAGCTCATACAGGTCAGTGACATATCTGGGACTTCCAGAAGACCTAGAGTGTTTTTTTTAGACACTTCTTTCTCACAAAATTGATCCTGCGGCTGTAAATCAAAACGTGAACTGTCACTTACTAATTATGTTCTGACACTTTAATTAATTCTGATTGTGTCATTTGCTATTGGGTGTTTCAAGAATTTGACCCTACTGTGTCCAACCAAAACTTAATAATGAAGCACTGCAGTACTTGTCATGTTTAAATACAAACATGATTCTATCAAGTAAAAAGGAATTACATTTTTTTTTCCCAGAAATCGTCAGGCCTTCTCTGAACACTGAAGGTTCCCCTCTGAACTGTTACTAAACAATTACTAATGGGTGCTATGGTGGAAACTATACTGGACTGTACGAACCAAATGGACGTGTTAATTTGATTTTTTTTTTCACGTCAAGAAATATTTTTTTGGTCTCCTTAGTTCCTATTACATATTACTCTGAGCAAATACAGGTTTTCCAATAAAGATTAAACTCTTCAGACGCTTTTGAACTTTTTGAAATTTGTTCCCCTGAAGGCTTAAATGACGTCACTGACTCATCATCACTGCTGTATATTATTTTCATGGCTAACTCAGGAGCAGATAAACTGTTATATTTTTCTCAAAATATGTGTTTCTTTAAGTGAAATTAATATCAATATTTTTGTGTTATGTGAAAAACCAATATGCATCTGACTGTTGCAAAAGTTTGACGTTAAATATAACTGTTAATTTGTAGTTTTGTGAAGGTTTTTTTAGGATTGTTTTTTAGTTCTTGTGAAGGTGTTCTGAGGGCGCTTATAAACTTTACGTCACCTGGTGACGTATGTTCCTCTGCTCCGCCCCCACTCCGTGTTTACAGTCCGATTTGGCGGGAGAAAAGCACCGCGTGGTCCCTACAGCGCTTCTCCGTGTTTTCACTTTTTCAATCGCATGTTTTATATTGCGATTCCCTCCATCGAATATTGGGCACCGGTGCGACAATGGCAGCGACTGTAGCAGTGAGTGCCCCCCCTGCGGAGAGTGAACTGGACCGCAGCGGAGCTGAAGAGGAGCCGCGGGGTGACGGAGGAGACGAGGACGGAGCTCAGAACAGCAGCCCCACGGGGCCACACAGCCGGCTCGCCAAACTGCCCCTGTCCCGCATTAAAGCTCTTATGAAGGCTGATCCGGACGTAAGCCTCGCGAGCCAGGAGTCTGTGTTCATCATAGCCAAAGCGACGGTGAGTGACCCGTCTTCGTTCAGGGCTGGTTTTCACCAGCTAACGTTAGCTAACGTGGCTAACGCTACGTCAGGTACGAAACATTAGCGTTAGCAACGTTAGCGGAGGAGCACCAGGTTACTGACAGCTCAGCAGCTGGATGAACCCCATAACTCTGTTTCATGAGCGGTTAGTAACACATATATGTAACTTCTGTGCAGCAGCACATTTTCATTCGCATTTTCAGTCTTCAGTAATACTAAAACATTGACATTTCGTTGTGTTTATAGAAACAGGACATTAAGGAGTTTCAGGAAATTACAGTGCAACTGCACCAATTTTTCAAAGTGTCTCAGTAGTTTATAACACCAAACGACTGGTTTAAGCCTTATTATTTCTATAACTACTCTCATAAGTTTATGTAGTTACAAGAATGAGGTATTGAATTGTGGACCCACATACAGACCCTTAAGGCCACCACACACTGGACATGTAGTGTTGCATAGCAGTACAAAGTGCATCTGTACTACATAGGAAGCATCACAGCCAGAGAGCTGATAAACATCAAGCTTAAGCTCGTTTTACACTGTGCTCGTATAGATTTAATGGACTAAAACTTTCAAAATTGTTTGTGAATGGCTGCTATGGTATCCCACATGTGGTATGATGTGAAATGGCTCATTGTAGGAAAATTTACCAACTCTGATTTCTTTACAGTGGTCATGTCCACAACACAAATAGCTATTTTATTTACTATCCAAAACCACCAGTGAACCTTTTGAGTTTTTATATGTAATTTTGATGTTGACATAATTGGGATACATCTGGAAAAATAAAATTTTTTGGGGACTAGTTTGCCTTACAACACCCTGCATGTACTTCTTCACCATGAATGGATTAAAATAATATAAATATTAGGCCAAAAACATCTCTCAGGACTATTTGAACATGTCTAAGAGATCAGGCAGTGTATTAATAATCATTTCATCTAATAACTTTTTGTGAGGGAGCTTCTACAGGAATCAAACACTTCAGTCTGGTTCCTGTCACCACCACTGTGAACAGTTCTGACTCTGTAAGTTTCGCTAGAACAGACTGTTTCACATCAAACAACTCTGAATGACTTTGTTTACATCTCAATGATTAAATTGTGCAGACATTTTGAAAAATTGGTGGAATTCCTCTTTAGTCTGCCCAGAACTGTGGAGGAGAAATGTTTTACATTTCTGACAAGTTAATTCAAAGGTCTCTATAATAATCATTTTTATTATAGGATATTTAACACAGAGAATGAAATTAGCCATCACTACTGGCAAAGTTAGTTAAACTGCTTTAGCTGTAACTGCAGCTCTCTCTTGATAGTCCAAGGAACCAAAATCATGCCCTCCGGTAAAAGTAACACAAACAGGGACCATGGCTAAGATTTTAGTAGGGACACTTTTTTGTGTGACGTGGTAATATGACTGAAAGGTGTTTGTCTAACTGATCTGAGAACTGATTTGATCAGAAGTGTAGTTCATGCTGTTAGCTGGCTGACTGATACACATCACTTTTGCTCTGGCTTATTAACTAAGTTAGCTAGCTAAGTGTCAGACATTGTTGTTCTCCATGACAAGTAGTTAACTATTAAATAAACAGTTTGATATTTTATAACGTTACACTTTGCTGACTGGTGAAATTTGTGACCCAATCAGGTAGGTACAGTTACACTATAAGCTTGTTTACACCTCACATTTAAGTTGAATGGCACCAATTTTTTTCTAAATTTCAGAATAATTCAGTCATTGAGATATAAAATGATGTGAAATGCTTTGTTCTAGGGAAACTTACTGAGTCAAAATCGTTCACAGAGGTGGTGATAGGAACCAGAAGTCCCGGAGAATGTTTTATGGTTAATACCTCTTAAAACTACATCACAGAAAGTCATTACGCTAAATGGTTACAAATATGATGCCTGAGACATTATTTTGCAATAGTTTTGGCCTACAGTGGGTTTTATCTTAAATCCATTTATGGAAACAAACAGGACGTTGTATGGCAACTTTTTTTTTTTCTCCCAGATTTATTACTATTTTACTGTTATCAGTGTTACACATAAAAACTCAGAAGAAGTGTAGGTTGACTGATCAGTTTGGGTAGTAAATAAAATGGCTATATTTGCTTTGTAGATATTGTGATGCCTGGTTCCCATCACCACCACTGTAATGAAATCTGAGTTGTTTATCTACAGTGAACCAGTTGAGCTCAGAGCACTGTGACTTTGTTTTCGTCTTGACGACTGAATTGACTGAGAAATCCGTGAAATTCACCTTTAAGATATCCGGATAGTATATGGTTATACTTTGGCTGGATTATGTTTATACCTTTCACTAAAATGAGTCCCCAGTGTGACCAGATCGAATCTGATTTTACTTTAATTTAAAGCACATCAACATATACATCATTTCAGTTTTACTTCCGTTTACTTTTCCCCTATTATGCTATGAATGAACAAGCCTGGCTTGAACACTTTCATTGGCCCAGAGTGCAAGAAGATACTTTGTTTGGGGAATAACTCCAGCCATGCGTTTACTCCATCTCTGTCTCTGACCTCCCCCGAATGTGGTTTGAACGATCCGATTGTAGTCCAGTTAGAATGTGTCCATGCTGTGCTTTTCGTTCAGACAACTGAAATCTGCATGTGACACGATCACAAAAAACGCATGTTAATGCAATGTGTAAATGGTCATTATGAGGTCAGAAAAGTCATTAGTCATGATCTGCCCGAGCCTTCTTTTCCTGACCCAAGAGAATAATGACTTGTCTTTGTCTTTAAAGGAGCTCTTTGTGGAAATGATAGCTAAGGATGCGCTAGTTTATGCACAACAAGGAAAAAGGAAAACGTTGCAGAGGAAAGATCTAGGTGAGTTAAAACATTTCGTTCAAGTTCAATACCATTTTATGTTTCCTGGTTTTGATCACCACAAAAGTTATTTGTGTATCTTTTTCTCACAGACAATGCAATTGAGGCAATAGATGAGTTTGCATTTCTTGAGGGTAAGTAAACCAATCATACTAAGTAATGATACTAATCTATCTGTCCCAGTGACTAGCAAAATAAAATGGATGTTTAAAGTGAAACAGACTTTTAACAAATTTTATTTTCACTTCACTGTGTCAGAAAATATATGTTCATAACCGTTATATATATATATCTATTCCTGCCTCCAGAATCAGCGATGGCTCGTTATCTGTATCTAACTTTGTGACTTTTGCTTTACTCCAAAAATGAATGTAACCCAGTGACTAAGTTTAAGTGCTAAATTGAAGTTTGATATTTCTAATCAAATGGAAAATTTGAATGTGTCACTGACAAATAGGGCTGCACGATTCTCAAGTGAGAATCAGGGAATTGAGATCACAGTTTTGACTTCTGATTCTTCAACAAACAAATTTTATGAAGAACAATATGTATATTTACTAAATTCTTACACAGTAAACCTTGTAACAAGTTTAAAAGCAGAGATCAACACAAATAGCCATTACAAACTGTAAACAAAAGCATAAATGCAGATTGTTTGTGAAGTCCACTCAAAGTGTGCTGCCGCGGTGGCTTACCACATTTCAACACTCAGAATAGGTTAAGGTGGTATGAAAGCAAAACTTTAAATATTTGTTTTATATTTCATAGACAGAATTTACAAATAAGCCTAAATCGGCATAACTTAGTTAAACTTCAGTTAGTCTGTTGCACGCACTTTGCTGCTGAACATATAATACGAACAGCATAAATGAGGCTAACGTGAGCTTGATTAATGCCGCGCAACACAGCAGCAAAGCGGAATGCAAGTAACAAATGCCATGGGAGCATTTTTTACCTGTTTCTCATGACAGCTCATGGCAAACTTGAAGCTCTGAGAGTCCCTTCAGCTGTTGTTTACAGAAGAAATGATACAGAAAGCTTGCTGCATTTGGCTAGTGCAGTGGGGAAGTGTTGTAGTGACCACTTCTGATCTAGAATGTGCTTCACTTGGCTGCGCTCTCATGGGGGGGAAAAAAAAGCCTGGATATCACAATGACATACCATCATGGTCTGCATGCTACCATCGCAGTGCTGTGTGATCCTCTGAGCTCATCTCTGGGCTGCAGAATCACAATGTTTTTTAAATGAATTGCATTGAGTAGCAAATCAAAATCCTGATTTTAATACGATTTTTTTGTGCAGCCATATTGACGTACTCATTTTGTAGTTGGGTTGTGTGGCCTGCACCTTATTTTGGAACAGAATTTTTGGATTTACTTATCTTTTTAAATAAAAGAGTTTGATATTCTGACACATGAGCTCTGTTATGACTGGCTGCCCTGTGTTGTGCCTCATTTAAAAAGCTCCCAAGGCCTTAAAAATAAATGGATAAAATGAGGGGGAAAAAAAGGAGAAAATTAGTTATTTTGTAGTTCATTTTACAGTCCTTTTACATATAGATCTCTAAAGATGATATAAACCTGTCTTTGTCCAGTTATGCATTCTAACTTTCTCATAAACCAACACTCCATATGTGGATGCGTCATGGAGTAAGATAATAATTGCACAATGCAGGTTCACATAGAGTAATAAAAGTAAAGTTTAGCTGCCAGGTTGTGAAGTGCTGCTGCACATCGTCTCCGACCAGGCCAGTTTACAATTTTTCAGCTACAGCACATGTAACCACTCTGTTTCAGCTTAAATTGACAGTGATGGAGCTGTTTTAGGTTTTTGGCTCAGTTATTTGGTAATGTCTACTCCTGACTGGCCAGCCAAAAAAATAAATTATGGAGTAATAAAAAGACCAAAGTTGCCAAAACTCTTTGTTAAATTTATTTGAAGAATTCCTCCAGTAAAAAGTCATGATGCTTTGTTCTTTTATTAAAAAAAGGAATCACGTTTTATTGCACATCATGAAGGCATACTGAAAAGAAAGCCAGTAAAAAATTGCTGAAAAAAAGATCATTAATCTAGGTCCTAAACCTGTTATCTCTTTCAAGAAAAAGTAGAAGAATTCACCATATAATGGAATCATTTTGTTCAGAGAATTGTAATACAAACCAGGCTCACCATCTTCTGCCTATTTTGAAGAATGCAGGTCACCAGTTCACAAAGACAGATGTGAATTATCACAATCGTGCTTTGGTGCTGCACCTGCTGCGTTACACCTGCAACCTGAGCTGGCAGTACAGTGAAAACAGACCATGTTGCTCACGTTATCTTTCACAAGTGCATAGTTCCTAAAATTAACTCAAATACCCAAGATTGGTATGAGCCACAGAGCCCAGACATTTGAAGAAGTGACAGTTTGGAAAAATGATTAGGCTAGTAGCTCTTTTATTTATCTGTCTTTTGCAAGTTGGATAGGAATTGATCATTTTAACTGCTGTCTTTCAATTATGTTTCTCCAGGTACGTTGGACTGATTGGCAACTGCTGGCTCATAAGTATGATATACTCTTTCTACAAGAAAAGACTGCTATTTTATTTACTTCTGTACAGTCTGGGGTTGGGGATCTCAACAGTCAAGACGAACAGGATTATTTTCCATCATTTTTGTATATGAACATGTACAGCTTTGAATATATTGACCAACCTTTGTGCAGATTTTTGTGTGATGTGCCAATTTTACTTGTGAATATGTTAGTCTCTTGTTAAACACATGGAAATAAATTCTGATTTCTATATAGGTGAGTTGTTTGTCTGGTCAGGCTCTCCAGTGAAGGTGAAGGGGATAGGCAAGGCTGCAAATTTGCCATAAATGATAGAACTTAATGACACATCCTTGTAATCTTGTATTTTTTTTAAGACAGTGGTTTAAGAATAGTCTGTGCAAACAGACTGACTGTCTACCTCAGTGCCTGGGGCAAGTTGGGCATTTCCTCTTTGTTTCCTTCCAAATATCTGCGATTGTTTTGGTCTTTAGGCCAAAAGCTTAAGGACTATATTTAACATGCCATTATGTCTGGATTGTTTTGCTGTTTCTGTAAGCTTCCATGTCAGAGAGAATTGAAGAGAACGCCCATAATCAAAACCGCATAACTTGGGCCTTACTTGAGATTAATAAAACCATGGTCTGAGTGACAAAGAGCCTCTCCAGAGTGGAAAGCCTTGGTGGTCCTACCTCGGACAAGATACCAACCACCCAGGAGAATAAATTCTCTGCCAGAATGTTGAAAAATATTTTGGGTTTGGCCTGTTTAATCCACGGCATGCTTGCTCAAATCCAGCACAGAGCCATACGAGATCGTGTCCAGGACCACCAGGAACAACAGGAAAACCTTACTGTTATAACCTTGCTTTGGTTGCTTCCTTGAGGAGTTACTTGAAATGAATACATTTTACATCTGAAATTCCATCAACACACCCCAAGATATGCTGCTCTAAACTTGGCGTTAAATGTGTTCACTGAAATCATAGATTGCATAAAAATGCTGTGTTTATTTGTGCGACTGCTCAATCTTACCCTTGATGGGTCATTTCAGTTTGCTAATAACTACAGTCTCCCATGAAGATGTAGAACTTCATCCGAGGGAATTAGTACGGATTTCTTTCAACATCGGTTGGCATGTTTTTGTCTGCACGCTGTTCAGTGATCCCCTAATCGCCAAAAAGGTATGCAGGAAATATGCTTGCCTCGTGGACACATTGAAGTCATGGGGAAGGTATGTTTTTGCAGCTGAAAGATTCCAGCCTGAATTCTCGCAAGGCGCTCCATACCCGCCCCATGTAGCGTACACACACACACAGATTTTTTTTCAGTCCCTTGACCTCAGGTATGCAGCAAATCACCCCAGCATCCTAACTTACTCACATGAATCAGATGACTTCCATCTGAATTTCTGTACAGAGGTCATATTGATTCCTGTTATCTTCTACATACTGACACTGCATCCAATTCAAAGCATGTTCTGGGACTTTGTCTGAACTGTTATGTATTACATTAAGTAGTAAGTTAAAATGATCACAGCTTTCTTTATGCTTTACACTGCTGTAGTCAGAGCAACTAATATGATGGGAGCACAATTTTCATATTCAAGGTACTCCCATCTGGATCAAGGTGCCATAAATGAGTTCCATTTGCTTCTGCGTTGCATGCCTTTTTTTTACTGATCCATAGTATGATCTCCTTAGTACCTACAGTAAAAGTTGTGGCCCAGCTGAACAGTTGTGGTCCCAAGTTCTGTTTACTATAGGAGGGCAGGGATCGTACCAGATGCTGTTAAACTGTTGATTGCTATTCAGCTGTCATTCCAACGCCAGGCCCAGGAGTGCCCCTGTCCTAGGCAAATAGGTGTTTGCTCTAACACATCTGATCCAAATTGTAAATACCAAATAGTGGGTGTGATAGAGCAGGGCAAGCACTACAATGTGCAAGGGAGGGATACTCTAGAACCTAGAGGTGGGAACCACTACCTTGTAGAAAGCATAGTTCTTTATAGTACTAACACTACACACCAATTTGCCAGTTAATTAGGTCTACCTACCTTGTACCTGCACTCGGAGGCCATGTTTTTGGGAACCTACCTTGTAGGTGCAGATATACAATATTCATTTTGCACACCTGATTCCACTCAATCAATTATCAAGAAACTTCATGTGCTCTGGTGATTTTTCAAGTACACAAAAATGTACAAAGCAGGGTTCTCAGGATTAGGATTAGGAACTACTGTACTGGTGTCCCCCATCTTTTTCTGGACAACATTTGTCAGCCACCCTCTGTCCCAATCCACTGATGGAAAGGGATCACCATGTTATTTGAGTGGTTGACCATTCTCAGCACAGCAAAGACACTGATGTGTGCACTACAATAAGTGTATCAGGTGTAGCAGTGTTGCTGGGTTTTCAAACACCTCAGGGTCACTGTTTCGTTGAGAATATGCCGCAAACCAAAAAATTCCAGACTGCAGCAGCCTGTGGTCAGAAGCTGACCAACATAAAGCAAAGTCTTAATAAGACACCACATGCCCCAAACTAGCTTCAGCGCACCCTGGAATATATTCCACTGTATGTTCATTCTGAAAAAGAAAACTCTCATCAGGATAATATTTCATCACAGGATAAAGGTGATCAGTCAGGTTAACTTTGTATTGATTTGTGGTGACTCTTCCCTCTGAGGACAGGTGGACCCAAAACCATGCCAGCAAAATGCCCCCCACAGCATGACAAAGTCACTGGACCCCCTCACTGTAGATGTCAAGCATTCAGGCCTGTACTGTCCTCTTGGTGTACACTGCACATGCACTCCCCCATGTTGTGTATATGGTGTGTGACTCATCTGATCACGTTTTTCCACATCTCTGTATACGGGCCTGTGGTTTTTGCAACAATGTTCTAGATTGTTCTGGCTGGCACATCCTGCATTGACATTCTCAATCACCTGAGAAACAGTTGCGACATGTACCAGAAGTGTGCTTCCTTCCAATTACATTTCTTGAAGACCACCAATTTGACCAGTCTCTTGCAGAACTGGTTAGTTCATATGATACATGGAACTCTTTTCTGTGTCTTTTCAGCCTGTTTATCTCCCCAGGCAATTCCCCCAGTTGTTTTTTACTTGTATATACACATCCTAAAGCCAATGCAACTGTTGCCTCAGATCATGTTGTTAACACAGTCCACAGACCTTCTATCTCCTGATTCTCCAAAGTTAGTTCTTGGTGACAATCATTGTTCCGTGGACAGTCTCAAGAATTTTTATCAGTATATTATGTGTCCCACATACTTTGAAGGTGCCATAGAATGGATAACTGTATTGGAGTAGTCAAACACTTTTGTCTCCTCCTTCAAACTCGATCTCGCATACGCAAAAGAGGGCAGTGAAATTGGCCAATTCAAAATCCTAAACTGTTGCATAGCAGTCTTGACCCATTAACGTTTACGCCCCCAAAATTTACATACACCAGCAACAACAGTCGGTCACTTTTCATACCGTTTCTTAGGAACTGAACTGTCAACAGGCATGGCTGGTGTTCATCTTCAAACAAGGCTGAAGTTGTCCTCCTTTTCGCCAGCTTCTCAATCAAATGTTCTGTTCCACCTTAAATGCTACAGTTTATATAGACGCCATAAAGTACAGCACAAACACATAATGTACGTTAACTGTGGTACCATTTAAGGTGCAACAGAAAATTCACAAAACAAGCTAGCAAATAGAAAGCCACATGTTTAACAGGATCCTGGACAACTTTATTTCAGACTTGTTAGTTTGCTTTGCACATTTCACTCCAGGCAGTTGTGCTTAGGTTCGTACTTTAATTTTCCTTGTGTTGTCAAGATCAAGGGCAAGTAGCTAGTATAGGTAACATTAGCTACTAGCAAGCTCCAAGTAACTAGCATAGCTAACTACATAGCATGATAACCTAGCTTATTTACTTAGAGGTTCATTTTATTTTCCTGCCTCGGTCTATTTCAACATGTTGCTTCTGTGCGAGCCATCAGAGTGCCTTGCTGTAAACCAGCAAATCAGAGCAGAGCTCATCAAATTATTCATGAGCACCTCAAATTAGGGAAAACAGCTTGTTGCACTTTAGGACTAAATTATAGAGTTGTAAATGTGCATGTAAATGCTTGTGCATCTGAGCATTGTTCACCCTGACCAAAGTCACATATCTTATAGACATTGCAGGACAATTTAAAATACTGAATAAATGCTTTCAATGGCACTTTAATAGGGTGCTGGAAATGTGTTAATCTGTTCCTATTGCCTACAAATCTATTATGTTGCCTCCTTTCATTCTGTCCTGTTGGCACCAGCCTGCAAACCTGTTGTAAAAAGGGCTGCTAACGAAGGTGGTGAAAACTTTGGTTAGAAAGTGGTATTGACAATCTTAGAGTCTGTTTTGAAAGTATCTCATGGGATCTGTTTTGAAACCCAGAATATAGTCTTAGTGATCAGGTTGACATTACCTTTAGTGTTGAGTATAATATAATATTTAAATCTATTACTATATTTCCTAGTAACAAGCTTTTGGCAACAAAAGACCTTAAAGCTATTATTAATGAGAAGGTTGAACAAAAATTTAAACAGGAAATCCTTCATTTAGCAGGGTATTAAAAATATGGCTTCAGTTACTTTGGACAGAGATTCCATTAGACATAGTCGGACAACGACAGTTTACCTGGTACTTTTAACTTTTTACTAGATTTGAAAAAGATGCTATAGGTTCCCTTGATTTGGAAAGCAAGACGTAAGCTCTGGAGAATCTCTTATCATTGCTTTAGCCAGTGTCTCTAGGTGTTGTAATGCTGGTGATGTAAATAAAACAGCAGGTCTGGGTGGCATCTGCGGTAGGACACTAAAATACTGTGCTGACCATCTTGGAGTTGTATTCCAGCAATTGTTCAAAAATCTTTGGTCAGTGGTGTTGCTCCTCAGATGTGGAAACGTTAAACTGCTGTACCAATGCCTAAAAATCCTTTCCTAAGGCTTTAAATGATTTTCAACCAATAGCTTCCACGTTTTTGGTAATGAGACGTTGTTAAAATCTCACATTCTTAAAGTCACTCAAAGTCAATTAGATCCTCTTCAGTTTGCATATAACCCTGGGAGTGGGAAGAATGAGGCAAAGCTCTATCTGCTGGATTCACTTTATAAAGACCTTGAGAGAACTAAAACCAAGGCCAGAATTTCATCCATGGATTTTTCATCTGCTTTTAACACAATGCAGCCCTTTTTATTGGCTGGCATACTTTTAAATGCTTTTAGACTGCATTAGTCTAAGATTTTCTGACCATAAGATCTCAAAGGGCACATGTCAATGAAAGCTCTACAGATCTCTCTTATACCCCAAGGGTGTATGTTGTCTCCCTTGCTTTTTGTCCTGTAGAACAAGAGAGACAATGGAGTTAATGAAAATTGGCATATTTGCAGATGACAGTCTTGTTGTCTCTGTTTTCTAGTGCAGATCAAGAAGATGGTACATACTTGTGGATTTTCCACCCCTAAAAAATTATACACACATTAATGGATGGTCTGTAGAGAGTGTAAAAATAGGAAACATTTACAGAGCCAAAATTGTCAATCTTCCACTGAGGTCACTGGCTTTATTATATAAACAACAGACTCTAAAAAAGGCCATATCATCATTAAAGACCTGTCACATGTCCACCACTCTGCCTTTGAGTTGTTGCCCCTGGGCCACTGTTATTGCTGCCCTCGATGGTTGATCAGTGATCATTCATGGTGAGCCATGTGCTTACTATGTATTTTATTTATTTATGTTATGTGTGAAGATGTTTGTCTTTAGTTCTCTGTAGATGTCTCTATGTTATATGTTTATGTCATATTGTGCCCAATTTTGCTCCTCGGATACACACACATGCGCACACATTATCTAAGCCGCTTGTCCTTCTGGGTCACGGGGGTACTGGAGCATGTCCCAGTGGTCATTTGGCAGAAGGCAGGAAACACCCAGGACAGGTCGCCAGTCCATGACAGGGCTCCTTGGGGACAAATAAAATTTATTCTATTCAATTCAATTCAGTTCAATTCAGTGGAATTCAATTCAATAGAGGAAGTAAAGCAGCACTAAGTCTTCTACTGTCGACATGCTTATTTGTATTGGCTGTTGGAATAGCAGTAGATCCTGTCTACAGATGTTCTGATTTGTACCTCCATGAATACTGAGTGTTTTAACTGTACAGTAATGTAAAAATGCACGTAGAGTTTGCGCAGTGTGTCTGCAATGTGTAGGCCAGGTGTTGTCATTTGCGTTCGCGTACTCGCATTGAGTATGTTTCTGACCTTTGGTAGTGAAGCGCCATCCGTGCCCCAATGATGAACCTCTTTCAGAGTCCAAAATTGAGGTCAACGGGGCCTGCTCAGCATTTTTCTACATGCGACAGAGCATGGTAGGATGTTAATTGCGTAATTGTATCATGCAGTACACTTGTCTGGAAGCATCTGCATTCGCACCTGCCTGTAAGTGTTTTCAATAAAGTGACCAGTATGTGTTCTCAATGTTCAAGAATTCCTGCAACACTGTGTCTGATACATCCTTACATCTTCACCACAAGACATTAACATGCCACTACCATGTCAGTGTCATTGCAGTGCGAAGAATGGTCCACTACTCAAATAATATCTAGTCAGCACGTTGTCGAGTGGTGGTCCCTTTCCATTGATATATGGGGTAGAAGGTGATAAACTGTGCAGCAACAGATGAACTTCTGTCAGCAACTGTATACCTGCAGAGTGCACCTCTATGAGAGGTGTTAACAATAAATTGGTCAATGATTGCAGGTGCAAAAATGAGACGTTCTTCCTCCACATCCAATTCTGCTGTCAGTCCTCTCATCATCTCAGTGTGAATTGTGTGAGAAGAGAGAGGACACAGGAGGTACCAGTGAACAAGGATCACACACAAGCATGAGCAGGGAGGAGGAGGTGGATGAGGGAGAATGTGGGTGTGTTAGCATGCGAGTGAGAGAGAGAGAGGCAAGCAGGCAGAGGGAGGGAGTGAGGGAGGCTGGAGAAATATAAAAGAGACGGAGGTACAGCAGACAGCACGGTGGATTAAATCCCGTCTGAAGCTCGAACCATGTTGCTGCAGACTATCTCTGTGCTCTCCGTCACCGTTGTTCTCTTCGGCTCCCTGGAAGGTAAGGTGAAACGGCACTGTTCCACTGAGCGGCTCCGGAGTTTGGCATTAGTGTTATGTCGAGGGGAGGCAGCATGGTGGAGGGAGAAGAGTCTGTTATCCATTTGCTGTGATGAGCTTTTTGATGCCATGCATGCTGATGAGAGAGAAAGGGGCTGTGCTGGGTTATTCAAGAGAATCTAGGTGATGTCATTAGGATGCGCTTGCTTCTGATACCTTCCCCTGAAGGTAATATCGCAAGGTACTGAGGACAATATCTGCAGGATGGGTCATGTCATAATCCACATGTCTACATCGGCCATGTTGTGTTTCGCTCCAGCAATAACAAAACACACGTGGATGTAGAAAAAAACTCCCTTTACTGAATAATGCATTTGTCCTTTATTGTGCCTCCTCATTACATCATCAGGATCTCTCATTTTCCCCATTCAGGTCTTGTTATAGGCTAACAGAAAAATGTAGCCTGCATATGTTGCCAATAGTAGTGGTGGACAAATCAGTGCTTGAGGTTCTTTTAAAAGCTTACCACGTTGTACTCTTTGGGCTGGTTTCTAGGACATGGTTCCTAAATGGTTCTTGGCTCAGATGTATATTTCAATAGTTCTGTCTTTGTTTAGTGTACAACTTTTACATTATGTGCAAGGTTCTTAATACTTTAAAAAGAGTCTTCATTCTTTCACAGCTCATCTATGAATTCTTTAGGGAACCTAAAGTGGTTCTTCAATGGCAGGGTTTAATTTCGGTCCTCGAAGGCCGTTGTCCAGCACAGGTGGGTGATCTCCCTGCTCAAACACACCTATTCAACCTGGCAAACAGGACTGTTTGAGCAGGAAAATCACCAAACTGTGCTGCCCCCTAGGTCCAGAACTAAAGAACCCTATTCTATGCCATCATTCCAAAGAACTCTTTTCTGGCACCCGGGTCTAGGAAACCGGCCAATTGTGTTTGAGTTTCTGCTGAGTGTGTCTCTCTCCGGCAGGGAAGGGAGTGCAGATGCAGAGGGACGTCCAGTGCTGTATGCAGTACTCGCAGGGGAAAGTGCGGACCAAAGATGTTCTCAAGTTTGAGGTGCAGACAGAGGGGCCAGACTGCAGCATACGAGCCATCATGCAAGTATTCCAAGCATCTTGGAGCGATCACATACATGGAAACTATGCCTTATTAAATCTCCCAGGCATTGCCATCCTTGCAGGTCGTATTTTTATTACTGAGCGCAGTAATTGTGAGGCAAGTGCAGCTCAAGAATGCGCTCAGGCTCGGTGGACAATACCCAAACTGTTCCCTGTGAGGGCCAGTTTTTCTGGTGCTGATTTGAACCATACGGGATTGAGGGATCAGTATGCGTTGTGTTTGAAATAAGTAAGCTGAGACAAGGGTTACTTTCGCCTGACTCGATTGTTTTCTCCTGGCTTGTGTGAATCATGGCAGATTGTACACCAAGAAGGCGGTGAAGTGTGCAGACCCCAGGGACAAGAAAGTGAAGAGGTTACTACGGAAACTGGTCCAGAGGCAAAGAGGCAAAGCCCACAGGACCACGTGGCTCCATCCGCGCGGGAATCTGCCTGTAATGTCGGAGGTAATGTAAATCCCTGTCCGAGCTGGATTAACTTTACTTGGGGAGGTGCTGTAATGTAAGTGATTGAAGTCTGAAAAGTAGTAATTCCAGAGTGGATTACTTTTTGTAATTTTCAGAGCCCAAAGTTCAATCAGTAAAAGTAGCCCTGTTCAACCTCATGGTAGACTAATAACAAAGGCTGGTAATGGACATGGTTATGCTCCGTGTTTTTATTGTTATTGAGCTTCTCACCTGTCATGTAACAGTGATCCAGGCTGTCTGATATCATTTGGAAAAATTCTCCAGATTTGTCATCCTGTATGAATCGGCTAGCCAAATTCCTTACAAAATAACTTTCCCAAACATCCTCTGGTAAAACTGATCCATCTCAAACAATGCTTTATTCAGGCATAGTCACTGGCACAAGACATGTACAATTGCATTGCATATTTCCGATATTAGAAGTAAGGTTCCTTAACTGTGCTGTCCCTGTTGAGGAATCTTGAATCTAGCTGATTGTACATATGGTACTAATGGTACTTTTGAAGAACTTCTCACCATTTGAGACTTTGAAGAAATTATTTTCCCCAGGTATTTTCAATACCTCACCGTTAATGAAGTCTTCCAAAAGAAACCCAGCTGAGACCAAAATTGAGCCGTGGAACACCATCTGCTTAGCCTGTGGGTCTGAATAGGCCTTGCTGCCTCTTAAAAACAAGGCCTTTTTTAAGGTTATTTATGTGCTCTAAATATTGAAATAATGACACATAATCTGTGCATTATTATCGTCTTTCTCGTTAGATCCAGTAAACGATGAGGAAGAGACGACTGATCACTCCAGCCTTTTCATCTTTGTCACTATCTTCTTGAAAGTATGTAGACCCATAACTTTCATTACCAAACAGTATGCTATCCCAGCAAGATTGTGATATTTAGATGTCTTCTGACCTGACTGTTAATCTATATGCCAAAGTATACTCCTTTTTAACTCTGTACTTCAAGCTTGTTCATTATCTATCTATACTATATCTACACCTTATAAGTTATACAAGCTGTTATATAGAGTTAAAGTGATACGACTGTTCTTGGCTCAAATATAGTGCAATTACCGATTCTATTATGTATGGTAATGCAATCGATTTTTTATATATAAAGAAATACAAGAAAATGGTGCTTGCATTCTTTTTACCATGTGTCACGTGTTGCGGTTATATTCTTTTTAAGTTGACTCCAGGCTGTTTATTTATTTTTCTACATAAAAAGGTAAGTTATAAAAAGATAAAAATACAGCGTGTCTCAAAGGTAAGGAAACACCCATATAAAAAGATAAATAAAAAGATGGTTTCGCAGACAGTTTTAGAAATCAAGAAATGTTCCATGTTGGTGACATGGCCTAAAGGGTTCCCCTCTTCCCCCAAAGACGGTGTGTAAAATTGGATCACTGTCTGCCAAACCATTTTCATTTTAATATGAGTGTTTCCTTTTGAGACACGCTGCATGTCCTTTTCCCCTGGGATCTTTAAAACTCAATTAAGGTACATAGTTGGACATTAAGGACCCCGTTGCACCTTTGAGGGTACATTGAGATTGTTTGTACTTTGAGAGACTAAAGTTTACCTGGACAGTACTCTTTTTTCTGACAGGGAACAGATAACATGATAGCATTTGCTTGAGAGTTCTTTTCTAAAGCTGCCCAATTTTTCAAATACTTTGACACACAATACATTTGAATGAGCTTAGATACAAGTTTGCATTAAAATTGCAAGTCATGGTGATTGTTGACGTAATTTCTGTATATAATTATTTGAAGCGGACACAAATCAGTCCGAGACGTACTACTATACCGTAAAGCAGGTTCAGTGTTATGATTCATTCACTGCTGGACATGGTGGCTAACATAAAACTTGCATTTCTTTTTTTTACATAAAAGAAATCAACACGTCAAATGTTTTGTTCCTGAGACATTTATTTGTGTCATGGTCTTTCACGTCCTCCCAAAATACGATCAAAATACAGCATGGCCATCTATTAATCAGTACACACATAACTGAATAAGGGAAGTTTTAAATACACAGAAACACTGCTCATGCTGCAAATGCAATGTGAATGCTTTAAATGGCTAACACTTTAGATAAATAAATAAAAAATACCACACTTTAAAAAACAGAAGCGCTCCTGTCAAATAAAAATAATGCAGAACATCCAAGCACAGCTGCAGGTCTGAATAAAGAAAAAAAAACAGCAAAAAGCAATTTCTAACTCTTAATAAAATTGGTTAAATACTCCAAAATCTGATTCACTAAAAAAATGAATTTAGTTTAATTTAGTTAATAAATTAATTCTACCTGAAACACAAACTAGCTCTACTTGCACAATCCACAGAACATAATGTAATTTACTTTATTTACGCTATAATGTGTCCAAAATTGTAAGGGGATAAATGGATTCCATTCCTGATATTGTAATTGCAGATAAGGCATATTATATACACATAAACTACAAATGCATGCTAGTAAGTAAATAAAGAGACATCACAATATCACTCATGACAATCTGGTAAAATAACTTCAAGGCAATTTTTTCAATTACATAATAATAAAGTACTATCAAAATAAGTTAAATGTAACAAAACATCACAATATGCATGAACAAAACCACAATAAAAATGGTTAAAAAAATATTTGCAGCTACACTGTAACTGACAATGAATGGCAATCACATGCTGTCAGATGAGGTAAGATGTTCACTATTGAACTTTTAATACCACCTTTTCGCAACATGACTTAGTACAGCCAAAAGTACTGTTCACTAGGAAACACTTCATTTCTCATTTACAGCGTACTTTACAACGTTTGTCATTCTTCATTTACAACGTAATTACCATTATCATTAAATCTCTTTATGAATGGTAATACAATTATTATAATACGGTATAATGTAACTGATGAGTTATTACAATCACTTTAAGAGAGTCTGTGATTACTATGAAATAGCTGGGAGTGCAGTATGGAATGTTACCTGCACTGGTTTATGGAAATAGAGACCCAGAGTATCATAGATGCGAAACACCACTCCTACATAGCAGCCTCGCTGCTCTGCCAGTGTTCGTCCACAACTAAGCTCAAGGACACAGATTTGGGTTGGTAATTGTCTGGGAGAGCATTATTATGCATAATATCTATATATGTGATTGCTCCAAGATGCTTGGAATATTTAATTCTAAACAGAATTCTCGTGGTGTTAGTTTACAAGTTAACTTTGTCAGTTCCTACCTCTAATGAAACCACATGAGCACTACAAAGTGATACAATTTAAAAGAATATGAATGAGGATACAGAAATAAATCCAATTACCTTACCAATGAGATTTGCACGCTTTTATAAGAACAGTTCTCTTTTAAGAGCATACTGTCGTTGTCTAAAAAACAAACAAGTATTTCCTGAATGGCTACTTCACAACAGAAGGCAAAAAAGTATTTACTTCTAATGTATGGTAATGCAAAGAGATTTCATTCCATGCAATTTTGGAGCATTTCGTATGGTCCATTCATCATGAAGCTTCAGTGTGTTTACATGCAATCAATGCAATCAATAATCTGATCACAATCAGATTTCTGCAGTTATCTGAATCTTATACAAATGGTCATGTAAATAGCATACTCCAATTTCTAGGTCTAGAAATCTGATTAAGAAATCTGATAAAGAGAGCTGGATTTTAGCTCAGTAATCAGATTTCTCAGTAAACTCTTACTCGGATTTCTTTCTGATTTCTCAGTCTGCGCATGTGCGAAAACAGACTGTGGTACCGAAATTAAGCAAGCAGCATTACTACAAGATGACAGCAAAACACTTTTGGAGGGATTCTGAAACCAACTACATGCTTGACGAAACGAAGGATTAAAATATTCTTCATTTTCTAGATGATGTATGTTCATATTTTCAGGTAAAGTGGCGCAATGTTTTTTAAATAATATCCATGAAGTTTTACGTTACGTTTACGTCACGTTTTCTTCTGTTTATTGGCTGGTTGCAAAACAGAAATCTGATTACTGTCTGACTCATGTAAACCCTAAGTTTCCCTATTATCTGATTACTCACGTGTATGTCAACACATTGATTGGATTACTGACCAAATCTGATTTCCGGAGTTCTCAGATTATTAAGTGCATGTAAACGCACTCAATACAATCACTCAAACGATGTAGAAAAATAAAGTGAAGCTTCTCTTAAGTGAGTTACATGTGAGGTTCAGAAGGTGCTTCGCATCTAATAGTAAACAGGCCACTGGACAGATGGGGAACATGCTTGACCCCTCATTTTGAGTCTTTGAATAATATCGTAGACATTCTCATTTTTGGAACATGCTGATATGGCTTTTGATATCCTTGCTCGAATAATATCTTTAACAGTATTTATATATTTGTATACTTTCCAGCATTAACGGATGTTCTAGGTAACAGTACTGCGTGCTGTTTGCGTGTAATGTTATTTACATTGTGGTTTCACTGTTTCGGTGCTTGATAGAGTCGTTCTCTTGGCAGATGAGCTGGTATGGCTTTTCACTCTCCTCAATCACTGAGTTTCCAATCTCAACATCCTGGTTCTGCAGTTCCTGTCGTGACAGGTGTTCCACAATGCCAGCTCCTAACGAGTCTCCCAGCACATTGGTGGTGGTTCTGAGGCGGTCCCTGTATGTACAAAAACACAGAAATGACTCTCAGTGAAAACCAAAATAGTTGCTTGGTAGACGTATCTGAATCTGCATTTATAAAGAAAGTGTGTCAAGCTAAAAATGAAGCTGAACACAGATGAGATGCCTTCTTTATCCACCGTAATGGCAGCTCTATTGACATGAAAACATATTCTGTATTCTCTCAGATTATGTGTCTGCATTATGTATCAATAACCTTTTGGAAGAGTGCTCTCTGCTGGAGCTGCATGCTTCAATGTGACATTTAGTTAAGACTTACAGGAACCAATCCACAGCAATGATGAGCGTTATGTCCTCGGTGGGCAGTCCCACCGATGTCAATACAATCACCATGGTAACCAGACCAGCCTGAGGGATGCCTGCTGCTCCAATGCTGGCAGCAGTTGCTGTGATACTGGAAGAGGACATTTTAACAAGGAGAAAATACAGTTGGAACTTGTGCTGCGGAAGTGTTTTATGGAGTATGCAACAAAGAGCCCGATTGTTAATACAGACATTAAAATATGTAGCCTAAATGTCATTGAAATATCATTGCAATGGCCTACAGCTCTGGGCACTTCAAAGAAGCACTATAACACAAAGAACACTGCAAGATTGTTGAGAAAGATCTATTTGAACAGTCTATTGCTGTTCAGGTCAACTTGACACTATGTGTAGCATTCATTAATACCTGATTGTAAGGATCTGCCCGAAGTTCAGGTCCATGTCATTGACTTGGGCTATGAAAATGGCCGCCACTGCTTCATAGAGAGCCGTACCATCCATGTTTATGGTAGCACCCACTGGCAACACGAAGCGTGTCACGCGCTTATCAACATGGTTGTTCTCCTCTAAGCAACGGAAGGTGATGGGGAGGGTGGCTGAACTACGGGAAAAAATACAAACAACTAATTACTTTATATATTATTTTATGAAATTGAACACAACTGAACCAAGCAATCAAGAACACTGATAACTCATACAGTTGTGCTGAGAGCTGGGCTTGAACAGAAATGTGAGCTGTTCAGGAGTCCCTGAATCCTTGTACTGGAGAACTCTACTCTTCAACAGTCTCCATGCAGCTGATGCTACAAATAATATAGCTGTATTCCATATTGTATGATCATTCTCATTACCTGGAAGATGTTCCTAAAGCGGTAATCAAAGCCTGCAGCAGACCACCAATAAACATGTAGGGGTTCCTCCGCGTAACCAGGAAAAAGAGCAGAGGCAGAACAAAAAGGCCATGGATAAGCAGACCCATGATGACGCACACCATGTACATGCCCAACTGCCCTCCAACCTGTGCCAGGTCCTTCATCTCAACAATCTTCCCAGCGATCAAGAAGAGGATGCCAATGGGTGCGTACCTAAGAGATAGGTGTAGAGATCACATCACAGCTGATGAAACTTCAGTGAATAATAATGACTCAGATAAACAATGTTTTATGGGTGTTAACAGGATGCCCAAACTTTTTGTCTTTGGGCGCCAAATTATGTTTTTGGTGTGCTGAGGGCCACCAAGACAAAGAAGCTAGCAACTCATTATCCTTATGTTTTCGCTTGTTGTCGAGTTAAAATAAGTGAACATATCCAAAACACAGAAAATACTTCTGCACATTTTAATGCACAATTACTGTTTAGTTAACATATTAGGAATAAATCAAACATAAATAATAAAATGATATAGAGACGTGTTCCCTGAAGTGGTGAGACCTGGCTTGTGACTGGCTAAATCCATTCCACTGTCACACAATATTTTTTGCAAAATCTAATAACAAAAAAACTTATATTCAATGTTTAAAAAAAGTTTCAAGAGATAGTATGACAAAGCACATGCTTTTTATTGACTTACTCAAACTCTTCCATTTATTGTTAACCCTATCGTTGTCTTTAAATATGTATAATGTTATTGAAAAGTGAGGGAAATGAGGGTTAAGTTACATATGTGTACGCCTTGAGTAAAAGTCTCAAGTCTACCCTTCTAATATCTAAATAGAGTTTTTTAGTTCTGTAGTCTCCATTAATTGACACAATTCAACACATTAAGAACTTAATTAGTAGCCAATGAATTGAATCATATTTAGTGGAACAAGGCAAATGTTAAACTCTGCACAAAGGGGTACTTCATGGTAGGACTGAGGTTGGAAAACTCATCCTTAATAATATAATTTCATAGCAGAGCATGAACGGACACTCACCAAATAATGATAGCTACTAAACGCATTATGGCGTCATTGAGGCAGTCAAAGAATTCTCGCAAAGCTTGGCCCTGCTGCTTCATATTCCCAATCACCAAGCCAAAGCACATGGAGAACACTACCAGGCCCAGAGCATTGACACCATTAGAGGAGCCGGACACTGGAACTGTCTCCTCCACCGTCTCCTGGATGGTCTGCAGGACTGTGCTGAAATTCCCAACAGAACTGGACTCGGTAGCATTGATGCCCTCACTTGCATTGACCAGAACAGTGATGTTCTTGGTGAACACTGTTTTCTTGTAAAAGGTTTTGTACTAAAATATATAAACAGGGGAAAAAGGCAACCTTCAGATGTTGACTCTGCTTCTGTCAGCTGTCAGATATAATGAATCAAAAGTGTAAATTTCATACCTGTTTAAAGCAGGCCTCCACTAAATTAGGTGGGAACATATTTCTGTAAGAACAGTGGACATATGCTTGCATCATGTTACAACATGAAATTTGCCATCAAATGACCAAATTCAAGTATTTCCCTTTACCTGATAAGATCCAGAAAGGCATCAGCAGCTTGCACTGACTCAATGCTACCACTAGAGGACACTGGACTGTCTCTGTTGCCTTTTCCAGGTCTTATGATGATCACCATGACAATGCCGATGAACACAGCTATAAAAGTGGTCAGCATGTAGTAAATGATGGCCTGCACTCCCATCTTTCCAGAGGCTTTACTGTCCAAAGATGAAATTCCTGGTAATAAAAAAGAGCAGCATGAACTTACGGGCCTGTTTAAATCAAGAATCTACAGCTGCCAGATACTGAGAAACACTGCATCTATGAACATACCAGACAGTCTGCTCACTGATTTTGCTCATGTACCTGTAACAAGACTGGACACGATGAGTGGCAGAACCAACATCTGTAGCATCCTCATCAGCAGCTCTCCAGGGAAGGAGAAATATTTTATTTCCCTCGCAGACAAGTTGTGAGGACGCAGAGCAAATCCCAACACGATTCCTGAACATCACAAGGCACAAGACATAACATGCAGTTAAAGTTTAACAAGATGCCACTCAACATGTGGGAACATGCTAACATGCTGTCTTTATGAACACATCTGAATGAACTTCCTTCCAAAACCAAGGAATAACTGTCTTAGGAACTTAGAAACTTGATGAAGTAACTAAGTCATTGTTTTTTTTTTTGTTTTTTTTTCATGTTGGTGTGCCTGAACATCCATCCTAAACGTGCTTTACCTACTGCAACTGCTGCCACGGTAAAGAGCACAAAGGTGTTGCGGCGCAAAAAGGCTTTGATGTTGTCTCTCGTGATGGAACACATCCTGTCCTTAGCTCCAGATACTCGTTTCTGCATGGCTCTGCGCAGCCAATGAAGGTCTTTCTCAGAGTGATGGGGCTTTTCGGAGTCCTCGTTCAGGAAGAGGCTGTTGCTGTTGGGGGGCTTCTCATTCATAATCAGCTCCAAGACTTGGTCCAGGAGGCAGGTTTCATGTGAAACTGACCAAGAGGAAAAGAAAAAGAGAAAGAAATAAGATTAAAACATCTTTCTGATTCAAAACTAGCATTTAATATGTTATCTGTCATGTTATGCATGTATTGTTGGTTTGACTATTTTTGGACGTATACTTTTATCTAAAATGGAAGAATTGTTGAGAGTTATTTAACCATCTAATTCTGTATATGTATCCCCATCATATATAAAGAAATTAAACTCTATTATATTTCAATTATATGGAGGAACTACACACATTACATCTGTAAAGCTCAGCTTATTAAAAATTCCAAAATGGGATGGCTGAAGAATTTGGGCTTTGAATCATTAGTGAGGACATTTACAATTAATTGGCTCAAATCCTGCCTAAGGAAGAACACTTCTATGTGGTTCCATATCCCAAACAGTTTATTAAATAAGTTTAGAGGACTTCATTTTTTTACTGAGATGTGATTTTTGATTTATCTAAACTCTCAGTAAAGCTATCTAGGTTTTATCAGGAAGCTTTTCCTGGAAAATGATCTTTAACATTTCTGGAAAATGATCTTTAAGTGCAGTTTTTCATCTCACAATACTTGGAATAACAAATGTATCATTATTAACTGGAAATCAACTAATTTGGTTTGAGCAGAAGGTTGAATTTGTTTTTGACTTACTGGATAAAAATGGTGACTTCTTGTCTATTATTGATTTTATGACTAAATTTCTATTTAATGTTGACAGTAGAAAATTCACAAAAATATGTAAAGCTACTCCTTCAGCCTTGCTTCTGCTTAAAAAAGGTACCATGCAACATTCTAGTATATCTGTCTCTCCCTAGACTACAAACTGATGGACTGGGTTTAATGAGTTTATGATGGTGTAACAATGTGTGGATAAAGAGGGCTATAAATGAAACTTTATTCACCGGGTTCAACAGAGCTTTTTGTTGTAACAGTGAACAACCCATTATGGGGGTCAAGGCTACTACAGAATACCTCAAGCATCCAGTCCCTCCCAATGTAAAGGAAACTAACTTTAAGATTCTGTTATTTATTTATTCTGTTAATTATTTTCATTGTGGTAGATTTTGTTATGAAAATACTCCTTGCAGCTTCTGTCATTCACAGTGTGAAAACTGATCATTTACTTTATTATTTATTTACTTATTTATTTTCCTGTGAACATGTGATAACCTTTTGGACTGAGACTGAAAAATGCCTTGCCACCTTTCATTCCAACTTACCTGCTTTTCAGTACGAAGACATTGTGTTTTTTGACCATTCTAGTGACCTTATTATCTCTTTATTAACACTGGTTCTTATGTCCAAAATTTTTATCCACAAATGTAAATGGAGTGATAAACGACCAGTCTTTGTCTCCTTCTATGCTAAATTTCAACATTATATGGTTCAAATTAGCACTCAAATCGATGTATGCGTACAATGAGATTCTCAGCTCATATTTTTGTATTTCTTTAGCCCCTGGTATGTGTGTTACTTCTTTTAAATGGTTGCTGCCCAATTATACATATTATACATTTTTGTGATGATGCATGAAAAAAGACCACCGTTACCTTGATGCCAATGTATTATGGATTTAGGATTATCATAAGTGATAAAACAGATAAACAGCTCCTACGTATATAGTGGTTTCTGCATTAAAAACTGATTTACAATGTGAAAATCATTGTTAAGTTCTCGTTCATCAGGGTACTCTCACTACAATACCCAGCATGCATAACGCAAATGTATCATACAACCATTGGGAATCTCTGACGTGTCAAACAGTCCTGACTGCCTAGACATGATCTATAGCCTAATAAATACAACCAAGCTAACTTCAGTGTAACTCTAATTTTGGTCATTGAACAAAATCCTACTGAAAGCAGTGATTCTATCTTTATTCATGAACAAAATGGGCACCAGAGAAAAGTAGCCGAGCTGAGGAAAGGTATCTAGATAGATAGGCAGCTACCTCACTAACTTTAGCTTTTAGCTTGTCGCCCTCCTCATCTGACAAGCCATTTCTGTCATTTGAGTTATTCATTCTCCCCATTCTAAAGATTACTTGAAGACAGTTACTACAGTCTGCATTAAAAGTTTCAGCTTCCTAACAGTAATGTTAGCTATCAGCCTTTCAAACCCCTCAAAATCCACACAAAAGAAGCTTCCAATGGTTTCTCCCAACTTCAAGATGCATCATTTCAAATTAGCACTCAAATCGATGTATGCTCAGCTCATATTTTTGTATTTTTTGGTATGTGTGTTATTTCTTTTAAATGGTTGCTGCCGCATTATACACATTATACATTTTTGTGTTGATGCATGAAAAAAGACCACCGTTACCTTGATGCCAATGTATTATGGATTTCATAAGTGATAAAACAGATAAACAGCTCCTACTTATATAGTGGTTTCTAAAATCCACACAAAAGCAGCTTCCAATGGTTTCTCCCAGCTTCAAGATGCATCATTTGGTTTAACCAGTCATGAGATTTTAAAAGTTTCTGCAATCTTTAAAATCTCACTACTAGTTAAATCAATTGATACATGTCATACAATCACTCCAATATTGTGGTATTACACGGTTTGTGTCATTGGCTATTATTTACTACTTTATAAGTGATATTTGAAGTCTACCAAATACACTGTATTGTTGATGAACATGTCTGTACTTCTTTCTACACCACAAAAAGGAAATATATTGAACTTTACTGATTGAAATGTGTACAGAATTTTCACATGAATAAAGTATATTATATCAGCACAATTCCTGCCACAAGTACGTGAACTTAAAAACAAAACTGATGTAATAATAAAACATATAACATACAACATATAACATATCTTAATCATGTGAAAATAACCTACATGCGTTGTCCAGTTTAGAAAGTTCAACCATAGCTATGTCATAAAGCACATTAATGTGCCTGGAGGACAGTGTTAACTTTTCCGTTTGTAGCACATGATCTCAAGTCACTACAACATCGTTGTGTGTTGGCAAAGAGAGGGTATCTTTGACATCCTTCCCACACACAGTTGGCATGATGGCTGTGAATTGAACCCTGGCTGAAATCTTAGGAAGGCTCCTCTCTTACTCTAAACACATTCATTCCTTCAATCACTACTGCAGCAGTACTTGACACGCAATAACACTGAGCAACACTATTAGGCCACATACTTCTATTAAAGCAATAGTTCAATCAATCAGTCAGCCAAAGCAGGTTGGGTGTATGAATTTTGTTTCACTGGGGCTACAAGACTAATGTAGCTTATAAGTGATGGAAGCTACCCTCAAATTAGCATCATGCAAACTGCATGCGTAAATCATCATACACTTCAAACCGTGTAGAGTTTTCCAGTGATCTCAAACAGAGTATTGAGTCTGTGTGGCTTCTGACACAGTATGACATACTGTTTATAAATCTAAGTGGACAAAGGTGTGGACAAAACTCTAAGATGGCTGCTACTGCCATTTTTATGGATAACAGTATGTCATTGTGTCAGAAACCACATAACCAAATTTAGTATTACTCACCAACTGTGTGTGGTTTGAAGCAAGTGTTTGGTGAGTTAGCATGCTGCAAATTAGAGGGTACAAGCTTCTATTACTTGTTAGCGACATTAGCCTTGTAGCTTGGATGAAAAACTAAAGAACCAAACACTGATTGACTGACTACATTTGGGATAAAGTTGAAATTGTGTAAATCTGATTTTTGGCATTTCGCTGGTGGGAAAATGAACGGGAAAGCCCATAATGTCCAACATGGCGTCTGCTGACGGGGAAAGTCCTGCCCATCAATAATGAGCCAATTGACTTGCTGGTTAAGTGGGAAAAGACCCCCTCCTTGTACAGATATTCACATAAAAATCTTGTTTTGTGCGTTATTTGAGCCAAACACTATTTAGTTGTTTTTGTCTGATTTTACAACCAATTTCAAGTATTTTTTTTAAACATCAGTTTGGTTTTTGGGATTCAGAGAGGTATAAGCATAGTCAAAGTCCTTTTAGGAAGCCTGTCCATTTGATAGCCATCTTGGCAACACAGCTAGTTATTTTTAGTCGTACAAGACCAGACTCCTATCTATTTGAAAGGGGAGAGGGCTAAAAACTTTAAACTGAAAGCAAAATTACTGTTTTTAAAATGACCTCTGACGTGACCTGGAAGAACACTTGTCCAGACCAGCCCGGAACTCTTTACTCCAGTCTGCTTTGTTTTGCTTCGATTGTTAAATTTGTGAGAGCTTTACTAGACTTTGTGAATTTGGGAAAAGTACAGAACGGACCTTAGTTATTTTGTTTATTATTTTGGTGTATGCTTATCCCCGATGCCATCATACCAACCTGCTATTGCATTTGGCTGGTCTGGCAGCAGGTCTGGGGAGAGAGCCCACTCTCAATGTTCGTTACAGCCTGACCCTAGACCGGTTCATAACAATATCTGACATCACTGTTAAAATCTGACAAACATCTCGTAAATAGTTCGTACCATTTGGCTCAATTTTTTGGGTTGTTCTGGTTACTGTGCCTGGGCAGATCTCCACAACTGAAAAAGAGGGGGCTTTTCCCACTTGCAGTGTAACCAGCAAGCTGATTGGCTCTTTTTACTGAAGGTTACTTCAGTTACTGTAAACGGACACCATGTTGAGCATTAGGAGCTTTCCAAACACTGACCCGTCTCCTCCTTCACAAAGTCTCTGCCCTGGTCTTGTATGAGTGGAAATAACTGCCTGGGGCCACTGCCAAGATGGCCATCGAGTGGAAAGACTTTCCTATTAGTACTCTGGAAAAACTGCCAGTTTGTACTGTAGTCCATGTAATTACTGAATAAGCCTTGGGATGTAATAAGTCTGGGATTTTAAGATGTTAACATTCGATTTGTCAATCATTTCCAACTGTCTGAAAACTAATAAATTATACTAATAATAAGTGATGATGAGCTCATACACACTCTTGAACAGTGATTGAGTGATGAGCTTCTTTCCTTCCTCACAATGTTGTTCTCAATTACTCATGCACAGTATTTCCACCAAGGTAATCATTGTTAATTCTGTTTTAGATGACCAACAGGGTCGAATTAAAGCTGCATGAGCCCCTGGCTAGAAGCTGCTGCTCTGTATTCTGCTTTGAGTCCCTGGTGAGTCTCCAAAAGGCACAGGCTTATACACTGCAGCTGATCTGTGCCAACGGGTATTTGCTAAGAAGAATAATGAAGTGAGTCAATGAATGCAATTACAATCTCATGGATTCTCATATGTGTAGAGTGATCTCAACTGCAGATTCAAAGAAAGTTCATCAAAATGAGTTCTTTTCAAATAACATGCAGTTGATGTTTACAATACACAGTCATTTGGAGAGGTGGTATGTCACACATGCGGTGAGATGCATGAGCCTCTTCACAAAGCCGTGTCAGAATATGCTGGCTAATTTCAGACACAAAACTCACAGGTGATCATTTTGCTCGTCTACAATAAGATATGTGTCTTGCACTAAATGTTAAAAGCTGAAGACTGAGCATTTCATATTATAGCAACTAAGCTTAGACAGTGATATAAATTTAGACAAACACTATAGCTTGTATTCTCCCTGATATATTTAGAAACTGGTCTAGCTTCTAATATGATTTTTTTCTTCATAACGATAACTATATTTTGCACACATGGCATGTAACACTGTTAACATCCAGCAGTTCTCCATGTTTGTTGGCACCCTTCTTCTGGACAATCCCACCCATTTTACCTCCTACCAGAGACTAGATCTCATAGATCTCATGTACTTAAGTTTCTCTTTCATTTGCATATACCCCAGCATTCTTTGCCAGACTTAAAAATCTATGTTATAATTTTTCAAAGGGCATTTGCGTATGTGTACTTACTTAGCTGGTCATGCTCTGTTTGTATAGACTGCAGTTAAACTTTTACTAACCATAGTTTACAATGACTGTAGAAAAGGAACGGTTAAATAACAGCAAAGCAATAAAAAAAAGAAACAACCAAAACAACAAAAGCATTGTTATTTCAAAAAGAACAGCCAAATTTGAGTTCTGTGGCATTTAATTTGGAAATGAAACAGTGATACAATTTGAATTATACAAAACAACAAATGAACATCAACTTTCTTATATAAGTTGTAATAACTTTCTTTTTTTACTTCTTGGCCAACTTGTTCATTGCCAAAGGCTCTAGGGACAGTTATATAAATTACATTACAGTACATTACAGTACAGTACAATAGTACAACAGTTTCAGCTCAGGCACTATTCTGCATGAATCTTTTCTCCAGTGTACTCACCACTCATGTTGCTGTTGCTGTCACTTGCCTGCCTGGGAAAGAATAGATGGCCCTGCCCTTCAGACAGGAGCTCGAGGCTGAACTGACCACAGGCTACACTTTACTGAACTCATGTGCCGATAAACATGAAACAGTGTGTCATCTCCCCTGCCCTGACCTTCACAAGGCTCATGCTCCCTCCACATGATCACACGCTGGGCAGCAGTCTGGGCCAAACTGACCGTGGATCAGGAGCACCTGTTTAAATCCTATATCCTTTAACAATATTGACCGGTCTCAGGTCAGTGTAAAAAGGGGCAGCTTGGACCAAAACCCCAGGCTGGCTACAAAGCCAGGAGTCATAATCTTGCCCCCACCCCAGCACTTTTCTCTTTTTTTTAGCAAAACTCCAAAAATAGCAGCTCCTCAGCTATTTAATCCAACATTTCTGTCTGAGCAGCTTTGTGTGAACTGATGTAGAAGTGGCTTCTTAAGCGAGTCCACCTTAAATGGGGTTGCATGTATGACGTGCCTCCTAAGGCGCCACAATGTAACTGCTGCACGGTTTAAGGTGGACCGTGAAATTAGAATAAGAAACAAACTTCGTTTCAAAAAAGCTGTACCGAAACGTAACTGAACTGGCTAAATGCGATTTCCTCGTTCGGAAATGGCAAGAAACTACATTTTAAAGGAGTTGTGTAGCATTTAACGTCGTCACAAATGAATTTCGACAGGTTTATTTTAATATAAATGTAAAAAAAATAGACTTACCCTGATGAGACGGGCCCCTGCTAGGTTGAACTCTTTACCTCAACGCGTTGTGGCAAACAAAGCTCACCGAAGTAGCCTTAAAGTGGCTTCAACAAGTCTCTGCGTGACGCCAATAACAGTGTGTCCGCGGTTTGAGAAGCTTGAGGAGAAAACGAGCAGGAAAAAAAACAGTTTGCGTGGGAAGAGGAGGTTAAGGATTCTCCAGGCGAGAAGTAAAGCCACCTGCTGCCGTCAGAAAAGAAAAAAAGGAGCACAATTGAAAAAATCCCGTTAGTAGTGAGCTCGTGGGAGGCGGTTCATTTGTAGCAGGGAGCGCTAATGGTTTGCTCATACACTAAGCTATGGAGCGCACAGGTTCCAGCGTTTACCCACAATTCAAATTCTCACTTTCTCACAGTTGCACTCGCACGGGCCACAGAGGGGAGTGAAACGTGGTTATGTGTCCAAAAAGCTTATTTGCTCAGGAAAAGTCACTAATGCGTTGATGTGTTGAAAAAGGGCAGAGAGGGGAAAACATACTACCATCATCCATTACCATGACAACCGGCTTCCATGCTCTCCTTAAGGTCCAGCCTCAGTGGCTTAGAGGGTTCATGAATTAATGACCCTGGACCCCCATCTTCCCACTCATCCGCCTACGCATCGTCTTAGGCCTGTTTATTGTGCATTCTAAAAAAGCTCCCTGAGGGCTGCCGAGAACTCACGTTACATGCAATGTTACCATAAAGACTTCATGTATGTGAGGATAAACTTCATACCATTAGAATTAAATCCTGATTGTTTGCTTTTTTAATGGGAATTGACTTGATGGTTACCATTGTAGACCACTAAGTCTTGTAGGACACTTTTAGATTCCTGTTAAACCGTTAGAAGCCCTTACACTGTGATATCAGCCCACCAGGAAAACCATTAGTGACTACTGGAGAACAGAAACCTTTAATGGTTTATTTGCGTGGCATTCATGCATCTTTATGGTCATGCACTGTAAAATGGGGACTGTAAAATAAGCATATTGGCTGAAAGCGGGTTAGAAACTGCTTTATGTGGAAAGCAAGCTAATTTCAGCAACTTAATTTTCTGATTATGTCGTTTTTGCATTTTTTTTTGACATTTTCTCATATCATTTTTGGATACCACCAAAAACAAATATATTGATGACAAGTGATGACACGGGAAGGTTGTATGTGAAAATGCAGTATAGTACAGTACTCACAGTTGCCTTTCTATTAGTCAGACTCAGCTCCCATATGGGGTGTTACATATTCGGTGCAATTTCCAGAACTGTTTTAACCTAACCGTCTATCAAAGCCTATAGACTTCTTTCAAATTATTCATTATCAGCGGATTGACTGGGATATGAGAAGAACATAAAGCCAAAAAGTCCAAAAAGTGTCAGTTTCGATGGCAATAGAGGAAGCAAACAGTACATTATGGGGTCCTGCTCCAGTTTCTAATTATGTGTCCACCTTTTATGTAGGAACTGAGACAGACTGAATGCTGCCCAGGTCTTGTGTGTGTGATTCAATTTAATAACTAATGTCACAATTTAAAAAGCGCAGCAATGCTGGTGCACCTTGTGCCAGCATCACATGCACTACCATACTATATCTGGGTAGCAGTGGCTCTATGGTGGTCCCTTTCTATTGACAAGGGGTATAAGGAGGGGGTGGCTAATAAATTAAAAATAGTGTGGGTGGGCTTGCTTCAATAACTATAAAACTGTGTGCACCTCTTGTAGGTGTACCAGATAAAATGGCCAGTGAGGATGCTACACTGAACTCAATGTGCTTTTTAGAGTCTGTCATAAAACAATTGAATGAAAATTGTCTACCTTAAAATTTTTAGTTAATCAAACCTGTAATAATAATAAATTACAGAACAATATTCTGTTATATTCTGTTACCGTATTTTTAAAAATTCAATCAAATTCAAATTGTAAGGCAGCCAGGTTACTAACATTCTTAAGCTAAAACAACAAATTTTATAATTTATACTAATACATTGTTTGTCAACAATTTTGACGCTGGATTGGTAAATGGAATCTGTATCAATATTGGTAAATGGAATCTCTGCTGCAACTAATAACAGGAAAGCATAATAAGCACCAAAGTTATGGAAGCATATATGTAGCAAAATTAAAATGCAATAAGTAAAATTGCAAAGTGTTCTCATATTTGAATTTAAATTAACTTTAACTTAACTTTAATGTAACATAATGTAAAAAGGTTTTGTTCAAAGTATGTTCCATTTGTCACATGATGTAAAGAGCAAATGTCTTCAAATGGAGAAAATGAAAATAAAAAAAATGGAAATATGTGTGAGCTTGTTTTTTTTTTTAAAGTGACAATGTTCAAATTTGGGCTCACATTGCAGATAAAGTGCCTGCTTAGTGTGCTGCGGCCCCACCTTGTTTGGATAGACTGTCTTTTTGACACCATTCTTGATTGCATGAGGCATAAGCATGCAGTTTAGGAAATATATTTAAATTGATATTAGGCTACTCATATAGCATTTAAATCTTTGTGTAAATTAAATGTGAATATGTGAATGTAATTGTGAATGTGAAGTGATGAAAAGAAGAACATGTAATGAAAGGCTGCATCTACTACTGCATTACTGGTTTTAATTGACTCATTTGTCAGAAGTTTACAGTGCAGCTAGACAACAATCCAAAGTATAACGTTGCACTTAACCCCTTAAAAAGCCAGGGCCCACCAGTGAGCCCAAAGGTTTATTACACACTTCTATAACCTAAGAATAACTCAGCTAGTTTGCCTTGAAGTCCCTGTAGTTACTATATAATAAGCCTTAATAAGCCTGGGATTTTAAGGGGTTAAACAAAGAGGTCAGATTGAGTCACTGGTACATCTCAAAGAATCAACGGAAATTTATAAATAATTTTCCTGATTTAATATTGCACTTCACTTGTTGAAGAGGAACCTGACGTCATAAAGCTCTGAAACTAGCAACACATGAAAGATGCAGCCGTTAAGGCTTAGCAGAGCAAAAGAAAAGATATCAGGAGTCTGGTGATATCTTTGAGTCGCAGACCTGAGGCAGATATTGCATGTAAGGCGTAAACAAACACATACCAATTCATTTTTCCCAATACTTAGGCTCAGCGAAACTGAGGCAATAAAAAATGGCACTGTTACAACACGGTTGCATGCAAAGGATAAATAACCAAATACTAACTTTAAATGAATTTGTCCCAATACTTAGATCAACAATACAGATGTAATAAACACAAAAATGGCATGGTTCATTCTGTATGAATAGTCCTAAAAAAGGGAAATGGTCTGAAATACAAACTGCATAAAGATGCAACAATTATAAGCAATAATTAATTTTTTTAAAACAAATAATTGAACATTTCATTTTGTCACTACCAATACAGTAATAATGCCTCCAAAACTTTACCAAATGTTTCAGCAGTGACTGTTTCGGTAGTGACAACTTTAGCTAATTTTCAGCAGAACTTAAAAACACTAGCCAGTGCATGACCAGCACACACAGCTTGTAACAGTACACATATAAAATCATAATATTTTTTATAAAAACATAATTGCAGAAATATTTGTCTCAGTAGTGACATTTCTTAATGTTACACATTGATTTTCAGACTGTAGAACATATTTACTTCAAAACAATGGGACCTAACTGAGAAACAGCCATGCAGTTTTACTTCCTGCTCTGACATGCAGGGGTGGGGCTAAAATAAGGCTCCGCCTATGGACTAAAACTTTGTGTTTCGGTAGTGACAATGAAACGTGGGACAGCATTTTTTAAATGTTTATTTAAAATTAAACTAAATTACGAATGAGAATGAGCAATCTCCACTTACCAATAAATCTTTTTTTTTTTTTTCCAAAAAAGTATTATTTGACAAATTTAAATTTAGGGGTTATGGTTTTGGGACATTACACAATAGAAAGTGCACTATAAATTATGATTTTATATAAATGTATTATATATATATGTATACATCATAGCTTATTTCTACCTCAGTGAATGCTTTAAAGTTAAATAGATCATAACATAATCACTGTAAATATCTAAGGTCTAAATCCTTGATTGTTATTTATAGTTTTTTTTTACTATTTCAGTAGAAAGGTCCATATCAAATCCAACTAGAATCCCCAGTCTTTTTATGTAGCTTGCCATACTCTCTCCATAAGGCCAGCATCATCTATGGAATGTGATGGTAACAGATTGTATCACTATGGAAACACAATGCATCTGCCAAAGTGTGGGAGGCGTAAAGCACGTATGATCTACATTTAGCCGTAGTAATTATGCACTCAGCTGCTAGAACTAATGCATGAATTGTATGCATGTGTTAAGTGAATTATGTGCAGTTAATACACTGATTACTTTTCACTAGTATGTCACCCACTCTTTATGAAGCTCCACAAATGTATCTACATTGGACTATAACATATATAATATCCTATGTCCATTTCTTTTACACAGTTTATTTCCTTTGCACACACTCTGTATGTGGTTTATGATGAACTATGCGGTCTTCATAATCTGCTATTAGGCTGTCATTTTATGCCTCATAGCTTTCAATTTTATAAGAACCACTTGCATGTATGGTGTATAAGACTACAGTCATACAGTCTGTGGTGTAAGCATTGCTGTAACATATTACGCACCCAGGAAAGCCTAAGCAAGTGGAATGGACCATGCTTCCCCTGCAGAAGCAAAGAATGCAGGTAGCAAGCATTAATGGAGTGTTACTGGAGTTTACAGTAAACGTTGATGTTGTATTCTAGTTAATGAATGCATGAGTGAATGTGTGAAGGTCAACAAGTAAACAAGTTTGTACAGTGATACATGCATATTCACATGTAACTGTCATAAAAAATTAATTATTTATTCAATTTAAGGTTTAGGTAATCTCCAAAAACAACTAGTGTAATTACACACTGACCCATCCACTTCATTAAGTACACCTCTTTGTATCTTTGGACATTCTTTTTATCAGGACCACTTACCATACAAGTGCACTTTGTAGCTTTACAATTACAGACTGTAGTCCATCTGTTTCTCTGCATACTTTGTTAGCCCCCTTTCACCCTGTTCTTCAATGGTCAGGATCCCACAGGACCACTACAGAGCTGGTATTATTTGGGTGGTGGATCAGTCTCAGCACAGCAGTGACACTGACGTAGTGGTGGTGTGTCAGTGTGTGTTGTGCTGGTACGAGTGGATCAGGCACAGCAGTGCCATTGAAGTTTTTAAACACTGTGCCCACTCACTGTCCTCTCTATTAGACACAGCTGCCTTGTTTGTCCACCTTGTAGATGTAAAATCTGGGACGATAGCTCATCTGCTGCTGCACAGTTTGTGGTGGTCATCTTCTAGTCCTTCATCAGTGGTCACAGGACGCTGTTGGCTGGATATTTTTGGTTGGTGGACTATTTTCAGTCCAGCAGTGACACTGAGGTGTTTAAAATGTCCAGCAGCACTGATGTGACTGATCCACTCAGACCACCGCGACACACACTAACACACCACCACCATGTCAGTGTTACTGCAGTGCTGAATGATCCACCCCCCAAATAGTACCTGCTCTGTGAGGGTCCATGGGAGTCCTGACCACTGAACAACAGGCCAAAAGGGGGCTAACAAAGTATGCTCAGGAACAGACGGACTACAGTCTGTAATTGTAGTGCTCCTAATTGGTAAGTGGAGCTTATAAATTGGACAAAGAGCGTAGAAACAAGGAGTTGTACTTAATGAAGTGATCGATCAGCGTATAGCTTACATGTTAGAAGTTCATATCCACAGAAAGAGATAAAAAGGTGACACTATTATAATGCAATTTATTATCATGCCTTATTGATGTATTTTTCATTATTGTTGAATAAACATTTACATAAAACTGTAACAATGTCCAACGTGATTTTATTCTGATAGACAACATAAAATGCAAGTAAAAGCTCTGGACTTATATGACAAAAGGAGGATGCCTTTAGCCACATTAAGAGATGAAAGTGAAGGACCTCACTGTACTGCAATGACTGAGCAAACAGCGAAAGGTCAGGCAATAGATTTGATGCTTTGAAATGTCACCTGATTACTTTCAGCCGCACATGAAGACTCTCCAGAGCTAAAAACACAGTGGAGGCCAAAATTAGATCCAAGCAGGGGTCACAGGTATAAACATTTGCACTGGCCATCAGGGCCACCAAGCCAATGAACCTTGTAGCCAAAATTAAGAGCCGGAATTACAGAAATATATGTATCATATGCACATTGTATTAATGACTCAGCCCAAAAACAGCAAGGTGTTGCTTTTTGTAAAAATTTTGCAATGGTTACAGCTGAATTACAGCAAAATCTGACTTGACAGAACAGGCTCTGGATCTCAACTATTCTGGTGGTTTGATAAGACAGAAAAAGAAGCGAAAAGAATCTCCAGGACACATGGCCACTGGGGTCACAGGCTCTGCATTTTTAGTGGCCAAAGTGTGAAATGTTGTCAGGGACACCAGGCAAGCAACATATACCTGGATCCATGACAACAAACACAATATTAAACAGAATATTTCTCCACATTCTAAATTACTACTACAGGACAGAGTCTATGATATGGTATGGTTACCTTATGGCTGTCAATCAATATAATAAGTAAGAAGCAATAGGCTAATGATTCTTCTGTTTATTAAAGTGGAAAAAATATATATTTTAATACAATCACATGTCAAAATCTATCAAAAAGATTTTGAACAAGACAGTGTAGAAAATCCTGGGGAGTTGTATGATCTGTAAAAGTCAACTAAACAAAGGTAGTGTTGTTACTGTGTGGCACCAAAAAAGCCTTTATGTTCTTTTTTCAAATACAGACAGTAATTGAGTTAATTTGGTAATTTACAACAAAATAAGATTAGGTATGAAACAGATTAGGTATTAAAAAAAGACAAAACAATGCATAAACAAGCAGATAAGAAGGATATGTATAAGAAAAAGGCATCAAATAAAAAATTAAAGGAAAATAATTAGTGGTCTTTAGGCATTGCTGAAACAGATTCCTTGGCTTTGCTCAAAACTTCAAAGATAAAAATATAACTGACACTGAGGGCAATAATTAATGATTTAGTGTTTTGTGTTTAGCTGTGTACAGCCTTTGCAATCAATAAAATAACTACTATGTGTTATCAGATAGTGAGAAGCCTACATATATGCAATAATCAACCACATCCACGTTTTCACATATTGCAACACTGCTGCATTATGTAGTTCATCATTACTGTTGCTGTTTTGAAAGTGATGTAAAATCAAAGCGATGAAACGCATATGAAGTCCTTATACAGATACCAGTATACTGTAACATAAAAAACAGCTGCAAAGAAATCAAAAATCACTGGTTGAAAATGTGTCTCTAGGCTTAATCTGCACCTGGAAAACCACCTTAAACGAAAGATCCGATCCGTCTTGGAGATGCTACAAGGAAACGATAGCTGATGTTCTTTGGCTTAATTTTACAGTATATATGAAAAGTACATTCTGCAGCATGATCAACGAATGACATTCAAATAAAGGATTTTCAGATTTCCACTAGCGTGGCATCATGGACTGTCTAACCGCATCCTGCAGAGATTTTCTGGTCACCAAGAGCCTGACCACATCTTCAGCCTTTTTTGTTAGCCTTTTACGTGCTTGGTCATGTGTCACCATGGTCATATCCCAGCCGTTCACCTGTTATAAACATACAGAGGATTCAAGAGAACAGAACTTCACTATTAAGATCATACAACACACAATTAGACAAATGTTTTAGCACACAAAAGCATTAATGCAGTGTAGGGGTGCAACAATTATTCAACTTAGTTGACTAAAATCGACGCTCAAATTAGTTGGCAACTAATTTAATAGTCGAATGGTTGGTAACGTCATTACGCGTCTTTCTCGCGCTCATGAGCAATGTTTTGACATTGGCGCTTACTGAAGAGTTAACAAAAGCGTGATGTCAGTCTCAAGAACAAAATCCTTAAAAGTATGGGAGCATTTTACCCTAAACTCCGAAACAAAGGTTGTCAGTTATGCTGTTTGTAAAGCCGAACTTAGCTGGCTAACTTGTCGGCTCAGTGGGTGAAAGAGATTTATCTCGGTAAGATACGCCGCGTCCCAAACACTAAATAGTGTGTAAAAATAGTGCATATACCATTAGAAGTGCACTCATTAGTGTAGTGTGTGAAGTGCAGAAGTGTGTGGTTTGGGACGCGGCGATAGTTGTGCTAGTGAGCTAGTTAGTTAATGTAAATGTTAAAATTCAGTGTTGTGAGCCGAGCTGTAACATTTTCTGTTTCAAAATGCTGCTCTCTGGAATCGTTAATGGAGCTGGAACAGAGAAGCATGTAACTATTATTCACAGCGACTCTGTTCACTTTGCAGATAAAGTTTCCACTTTTAAACACTGCTTCGTCGTCTTAACGTCAAGGCCACCGGTGCGCTCAAATTCGGGTCCACTCGCAAGCAGTTTCACAATGTAGTTCTCAGCGGAAATACAAGGCAGCTGGACGAAGGGTTACCGTGGAAATGAAATGTTTACACAAAATCGTTCCAATTTAACTGTTCATAGAGAAGTTTGCCACAAACAATCGCCACTTTCCCCTCCGCTCCATCAGAGTGCATCTACTCTGCTGTGGGGAATATCTGCTCTCAGAGGAGATCAGGCCTCTCACAGGAGCACGGAGAGATGCTGACTTTCCTCCGTTTCAAAACATGGGATTGTAGAATTTAGTTGCAACAGAGTGTAGACAGCCAGCACAATGCACAAATCACAGTTTATATTTAAATTTAGATTTTTATATTTAAATTTTAGATTGATTTTTTAGATAGCTACATAAGTACTCTTTGGAAATGTAGTGATTCATAAGCCGAATAACTGATTATTCGTTTCAGTAATCGACAGATTATTTGACTATCAAATTAGTCTTTTGTTGCAGCCCTAATGCAGTGTAATGAAAACTAAAGAAAAACTGAGCCCAACTGTTACAATGTTACTTGTGCTTTTGATGCACCTTAAAAAGTTACAACACAAATTAGTTTTCCAAGATGTGTCCTTTTATGGAATTAGGGCTGTTACAAACATGAAATTCTAAATTCATAAATAATTGTCATTAATGATTTGTCTTTTTTGTTCACTGTTTAACTATTAAAGTACAAACCTATAAGTTGCCAAATTAGCTAATATAGCTATATTGCATCCCAGTTATGTTTACACTATACTGTTGTGTACGTACACACACACTCGAACCAGGGTTATTACAGTTAACCAAAACTGATACTAAAACAAAAACTAGCAGTGAAAAATGTTCTCATGAACTGTAATAAAAATAAAACTGAGTTTTCAAAAACACGAAAGCTAAATCAAAACTGTATGGTCCACCGCAAAACTAACACAAGATAGAATTACTGAGAAAAAAAAATTGTATTTTTTTGTTTTTTCAGAGCGTGACTAAGAGATAAGAAGTGGAACCCTTCTCTGTTTGGCTGTTTTTAAAAAAAGCTGGAAAGAAGCATGGTAGAAACTGAAGTCACATGTATGTGCTACTAAATTAACTCTTAGTTGTTACAGGAGGCACACAGCTGACAAGTCAGATATTGTTACAGAAAGCATGTAGTAGCACAGCGATTTCATTGACTAAGAGGCACCGAATATGTCCTTAGTGTTCATATTGTGTATAGGAAACGTATAGGACGCGTGTCACTAAATCTTGCTGATGAGACTTACAATTTTGAGGCAAAGCCAGAAATATAAACCAAGGGTTGGTAGCAGCCTCTGGTGGACTGATTGTGTAATGAAAATACTTAATAAACTGAATAGGAATAGAAATTTAAAGCAGAACAAAAAAGAAAGAATAAAAAGAACATTTAAAAAAATCAATTGAATAATACAGAAAATATGTATATGTGTACTTAAACAAATATCAAGAAACTCATTGTAAAATTTATTTTAGTAATTTTTAATTTTTCATTGACTTTCTAAGTGAAAATAAGTTAACACCTCCCCTACAGGAAACACACAAATATGGCATTTTTTAAAATTTTACTGCATAATTTATATTTATTTGGTGAGTTTACCATATCGGAAAAAAAGAAAACACAACATATAAAATGTTCCATTATACATGCACAGGCCATATCTTGTGTATTTTTCTCCAATATGTTAATGTCAGCAGAAATAAAGTAACTGTGCATGTATCTGTGCACAAGTGTGTTCTCTGTAAATTACATGTAACTTCTTTTTCATACATGATTTGACCAGAGGCATCCAAACTTCTGCATGTGACTGTATGGGTAAACAACCAAAAAGAAAAGTTCTTCAGTTTTCCTACCTGCATTATTTTATCCCCTGTCATAAGGCCTGCAACTTCTGCTGGTCCTCCTTTTGACACCCTTGTGACATAGATGCCCTATAAAAAAAAAGCAAACAGTAATATTCATGAACTGAATGGTTCTCCAAGTGGTTAATATTTTTGTACTATTCCCACAGACTGAGGGTTTGTTTGTTTGAGACGCATGTTTGAGACTTTTCACCTTGTCTGTTTTGTCCTCTGAGAATGGATTCTGTGATGGATCTTGGTCAATACCCCCTCCAATGCTAAAACCCAGTATTAAATTATCACCGTCTCGTAGTTTATGAATCTCAATCCGTTGCTGAAAGAAACAAACAAAAAAAGAGTTAGAGTCTGCTGCTTATCTCTAACACAGTGACACAATCAAACCTCAGCTATGCTCTCCTTATATGGCTATAACGACACTACCTGAGTAATACACTCAAACCACACCTAGACATTACCTGTAATGTCAGTTCAAAACGTTTAATTTACTAATAACGGTCTCCCTTACATTTTCAATATAATCAATTCCAGAAAAGTACCTCTGTGTGCTTTTATTCACTACAAAACAAGGCAACAACTACCTTTCTGCTCAGCGACTGAGCTACAAAGACAAATACACACACAGGCTGCCCAGTTAGTTAACGTTAGTTGGCTAGCGAGATGCTAATCGTTACAGATAGTTTCTTGCTTGGTAACATTAACTGTTAGCTTGCTGTGTCTACTTGCAAGCTATCTAGTTAAACAAATGGAGAGACACTTTTTTATCCCAGTCCACTCACAAAAGTTAGTTTAACTTGTATTCGATTTAGAAATGCACGTAGGTAAGTTACGTTAGCTTACTAGCTAGCTAGCTTACTTCTAGAACAACTCGAAGTCAGTTACAGACCCGGGTAGCTAAAGCTGGCTAACGTAACAACACGGGCAGCTCCGACTACGTTAGCCTACGAAGTAAAGTAACTTGCAAACTATAAAAGCCCACGACAAGCACTAGCTAATATATACATATCTATTGCTATGTCGTCAGTTTAGCAGTTTTAGCTTCACGACAGAGCGATAACGTTAAGTGTTCGCTACTTTGCTTAGCTTGAATGAATAGCGTTAGACGGCTAGGCTAGCTTAGCTAAGAGCACGAAACTTTGTGCAGTTCAGCATCAAACAGAACTCACCACTACAGCTGTGACAGGCTGTCCTGGTATGTAAGACATATTAAAAATTAAATACAGAGGCCTCTTTTTTCCTCAGCCTACAGCGAACAGAATCTCCCGCTAGGTTTTAGGACCGAGGGTCTGCGGCTACACCCATGAATGACAACATGCAGATGACATGCTGGGGGCAGAGCCAGAAAACAGGGAGCGCCGTGACCCACTCACACACGGTCACTCCTTCTCTGTGTTAACACCGTTAAATGTGTGATTCAAACAGTGATGCGCTTAATTGAAAAAATGGGCTGATTACTAAATTTTAAAACATTTCGCCTGTGAGTTTGCATGCAGATTCCTAGGATTAGCGGTTTTAATGCATCAACCGCTGAAAACATGACAAAAATACCCCACACTTAACATTCATGCAGATGCACAGAAAAAGAAAAACACAAAGGAAGGTCTATGAGTGACCCCATCGCGCCCCCTGCCGGCGAAAGGCCACAGTGAACTCATATTTACAGCCAGTCTAGAGCTTAATCTTTTCAGGCCTTTTGTGGAAAAAAAAACATACCGTGAAATCGCATACAAAGTGGCAGCTGCACTTTGATTTAGCTTTGGAAAAAGCTGATAGTCTAGTGATACTCGAGTCTGCGGGATAAAAATGTCAATCATATTTTATCGTTTGTAATAAACACAAAACACCACATTCGGGTTACAAGAAGTGGTGGTGATGGTGGGGGAGGGTGATGATAATGCAAATTAGGGGAGATATACCATGTTGGTCTTTGAGTGGGCAGAGAATAGGGTGACATTCATCATCTGGTCTTTAGCTGCTCCGAACAAAAGACTTGAAGGCATTGAGCTCCAGACAGGCTGTAAATGTGACTGAACTCACTGTGGCCTCAATGCGATAAACTAGTCGCCAGCAGGGGGCACACTGGGGTCGCCCTTTGGCCTTCCATTGTGTTCACTGTGCATCTGCATTAGACTGAGGTGGTTTGGCCACGTGTGTTTCAGCACAATACACAAGCATTGTGGTTCAAGAGAGGCATTGTAATCTGCTCTTCTATGGCAGTTACCCTTAAAATTAAAATATAAGTGGAACAACTATCCATTAAGCTGCCTGTTCTTATTAGTCACACGGTTACATCCCTTAAAACACTGGAAGATTGTGCTCGAGCTCTGAGCTAATTTGTTAATATTTGTGAATTAGGTCATGTTCCTAGCAAATAACTGCCATATCAATTACTAGACAGACTATTTTTCATTTCTGAAACATAAACAAAAAAAATAAACTTTAAATTGAAAAGGAGACTTAAAAAAATAGCTTTTTACCTGCTAGCATTGTAGTTGCCTGTTTGCTAGCTAGCAATAGAACACAAACACTTTAATTTTTGTCTGATTCACCAAAATAGGCAAGTAATTATATTAGTTGGCTAGTTATGAGTCAGCGAAGGACAGATCTAAAGCTAGATAGCTGGGTGTAACCACATGCTAACACAACCACTAGCAAACCACTAAACAAACTAAGAGGGTCAAGCACCATTTGTCAAGTATTTTAATAATCAAATTTAGCTAGGATTGAATCCCTTATGCACACATTTAAGTGGACAAGCTGCTTTTTGGCATGATTTCACTTCTTTATTCTTCAGCTTGAGCAGAAGTCCTTGTTCCCCAGGGCTTCCTCAAATTTCAGGGCACCATGTCAAATATAAGCCAGCAACCATGTGGGTATCGATGTGAGGCACTTAACTACTGCACCACATGTTAGAATCTTTGTGTAGAGAAAGAGCCCCAACAAAAACCTGTTTAAGGAGTCTATATAGAGGAGAGAGGAGGTGTTTATGTCTAGTAGAGCTCCCATTTTGGTGCCCTATGATATGGTGATGGTGCCATTAATGGAGGCTTTGAGCTCCATAAGAACCTCTTGATTCAGTATTCAATACTTGCTTTCACTTTGGACAAATATCAGTCAAACACATGTTAAATCCCACCTCATTGCATCTTTGTGGCTATTTCAGTCCATAGCGATCATGGTTATTTAAAAAAAAGCAGGCAAGGGTTGATTTCATAGATATTAAGAAATAATTCCAGGTGAAATGCTTGCCTGTGAAATAAACTGTTACCGTCTTAGCCTATCTAGGAGTGAAGATGTGTGTTCAAGATGTTCACCCACGTAGTGCAAAAATAGTACTCATTTAAAAATAAAAATCGTGCAGTTGACATGTCCTCAACAAATGGGCTTAGTCACTACACAAGTACTTTAATATACTCTAAAATATCTGCCTTTGTTGGTATTTAACCCAGCCTGAAATAGTAATCATACTATGAACGATATGAGCACTTAAAAAAATGTAGAATCCCATGGAATTCAATGACCAAAGAATAAATTCTTGAATTAATATTTTGTCTTTATTATTAGTATGCAAAAATATTGGATATTTTTCATGGTCGTCAGTATGAAATGTTTGGTTTTTTGGACCCAATTAAGTAGGAGTACACAGAACTTTTCCAACAATGCGATCATCACAATACATTATTCATCACTGATTTTTCAAGTAACTGGTCAGGCTTCCCAAATTTCATGACCTAGCATTGCAGTCCATGACAATACCTTCATGAGTCTTCATCTAAACTACACTCATTATAATATAGCAATTATGATTCTTAAGGTACCAAGAAATCTCCCGTAATATCTCATGTTTAAAGCTGGACCGAGATCAGTCTTACATAATCACAGAACTGAGACTAATCAGCTCTTTAGGGCTGCAATCCCATCATTTTATCAGTTTCCTTTGTAATTACCTTACAATACTTTCTGTCATTGTTCGTAGTCAATGGTCTGCCATTGTGCTTGTGCATGTATGATAGAGTCACCTCTGTGAGTTTTGCCATTTAAGTAAAAAACCTGAGGTATCCCAAACTTGAGTGACTCGATAAATGCGCCTAAGGACACATGACAGCGTACTGACCTTTTATCCTTCACCATGTACACTAAATGAGCAGAGAGGTGTTGCAGAATATAACACAACATGAACATTCACGCAGCGACTAAGAAATCACATACTGAGAACCTATAAAGCCCACACAAAACATGGAAGTCAGTCTGAGCAGCTGACTGCAGCTAGTCAACTCGGTTACTGTCCGGGCACATAAGGCCAGCTAATTGAGCTGCCTGAGAGCTGCATGTCTCGGATGAGCGTCTCGATGGGCGTCTTGCCAACCAGCCGCATGAAGAAGAGCTGAGAGATGAGGTTAGCGGGCACGGCTCTGAGCGAGGGCAGGCGCAACAGCAAACGGCCGAAACGCTGCGGCTGGGTGGGATACTGCATGCGCTCGTATTCGGTCAGGGCCACCTGGGCCTTCTCCTGTAGACTCTCCACATGGGCTGGGTCTGTCAGTCCACACGCATCTATTGAAGACACACATACAGAGGTTCAGGGGCAAATTCCACAGCTGGCACACAGTGGTTCACATTAGGTAACAGGGGTGTAAAAAAAATTACATAGTTCCCTGCAGAGGATACGTTCACTTATTTTCACTTATAATCAACAAAACATGTAATTTCAGGGGTTTTCACACAACTGTATGTGTGAAAATCAACTTGAAGGTAGCGATTCAACTACATCAAGTTTGATTTATGCAAAAAAAAAAAAATAATTAAACCAAAATAATTTTATCTGGCTGGTTTTGTAACTTTAGTTTTTAGTTTCTATTTGTTTATATTCCAGTTTAAGTTGTGCACCTAGTCACATCTGTATTCAATGTGTTTAAAAAAATCTGAATGAAAGTCACATAGAATCATGGTGAAATCTGAGACCACATGATGCATTAAATCGTCTCCTATAGAATCATATTTCAATTCAATTCAAAGACAGTGGAATTTTCAGCAACATTTTAACCTCTTAAACCCTGAAGGCCTATATGTGGGTCCACACTTCAATTCTTCTGTGTAACTACACAACTTACATAGTACACAGTAGTTATGAAATAATACTTCTTAATAATAAGAATAATTCATGACTGAGTAACAGGCCTGCAGTTTAAGAGGTTATTTTAATCTTTGCTTTTCAATAAACTGTAATTTCCCATTCAGCACAAGGTCAACTTATTGGCTTCACAGGCCACCTGCAGACTTTTAGACTGTAAGTGCCGGTGCAAAAAATACAGATGTATGGAGTGGAATGTTTATATGTGATCAGCAGACGCTGTAATTCTGAACAAGTGTAGCCCACACATTTTTTAAAAAATGCTGCAGACCCAACAAGTGGCCATTTCGTGAGCAATGAATGTATAAGGTCTCACTGGAGGTTTTCATATTTTTCATACTGTGCAATTTGAGCTGTTTTTTGATAAGTAGTGCCTTTTGATATGATGTTTTGTAAAAAAAAAAACAAAAAACCTGACACCAATTTACTTTACTCCAAATACAATCGACCAGCAAAGACATAGTTGATGTTTCACTTCTCAGCTACTGCAGATAGCAAGTAATTTTAAATCTCAAACTTACACTGGATCAATTAGCATTAGTTTTAAACAATATGTCAAAACCATGAAAGTATATCTGAGATTACTTAACAACTAAATGCAGTTTGAGGCAAGTGTGTGATGAAATAGGTATACAGTTTGGACAATGCTAAACTGATGGCTATAAATTTCCCTTACTTGTTATTCAAATTAACCTTGTTTTCTTCCTTAATTTTGCTTTGGAACTACTTCAGACACCAAACATGTCTTGGCTGATCGGTATGTCATAATTATTTCATAATTGCCTGATTGCAATTATTTAAGCTTCCACGGTTCAATTCTATGTTTAATCATATGTTTACATCACAACAAATAGAATTTAATCATGTACATCATGTACAATTTGAGGCAAATACACGTAAACAAAACAAAAAAAAACCCCAAAAAAACAACAGAAAACAAATTTATTGAGACATGTCATTGGTCTTACGAAAACAACAAAAGTTCTAAGTGCTGTAACACCTTTAGAGGGCAGGGGTGATGTTTGTTTATTTGAGCTCAAGCTGTTTCTGTCTTCAGTAAGGAGCTATTAAGTACTGACAGCTAAGAAGAACTGTCTAATCTGTTGATTTTGCAATTTTAAGTTTGTACTAGGTGTGGGCGATATGGAAAAAATATGTATTACAATATTTTGAGACAGACACAATGCGCTAGTAGTGCCAGATTTAAGAATTGCCATCAAAAACTTGCAGGTGCAGTGATTATTATTTAACATTTCACATATTGTACTGCACAATTCTTTATATATAGAAGATATTCTTGAAAGGCTTAGGAAATCATACTGCTTTCACATAACATGTATCATCATGAAAATATATCATACTGCCCACCTCTAGTTTGTACATTAATATAATTGAATTCTCTTTCAAAAAAAAATAACTGTTAATTGCAATTGTTAATATGGCAAATCATCATGGATATTATATGACAATCACTTGGAGTAAAGTGAACATTTTCGGTTGAACAGTCGCTTTAACATATGGTTAATTTGCATCAAAAAAAAAAATATATATCAGCTACCTGGAGAGAAGAGGGCGATGGCTTTGAGGCAGCTGTATTCGGCGGAGTCCACCTGCAGCCGCGTCAGTTTGTCCACCTGGTCCTGGAAGACGCGCACCTGGTCCATGAAGGAGACGACACGCTCGGCAGACATGGGCGAGGCGTGGAATCCAGCGGCAGCCAGCAGTGGGGCCATGTGGAGCGGCAGGGCCGACTGGGCCGCATTCAGGATGAACAGTTCGCTCCAGCTGAGCCGCAGCAGAGCCACCTGCTCCGACACAGGCAGGTCAGGGAAGAAGGGAATGTTCCGGGCCCACTCAATGATGCTGAAGAGTAGCCGGGCCGCCAGCTCACAGATGTTGTCAATGCCCATGACGGCGCTGTTGCCTCCCCCGAGCTGCTGGCCACACTGGGCTCCATAGCGGCTGCTGGGGTAGGGCTCAGCTCTCAGGAGCTGGGTTATAAGCTCGGGCGCAGGCTGACCGTTGAAAAAGTCACCCCCCATGGCCGGTCCACCGACCCCACCACCACCACCACCACCAACCATGGAGGTGGGGCTGATGCCTGAGTGGGATGGCGGGATGCGCCCACGCTGGACTGCTGCAAGGAAGAAGTGCAAATGAAGAAAGATAATCCAATTAACTTAAAGGAGTACTTCAAGCAAACATCAAATTTAAGTCCACTTAAGTCCACTCCCAAATCTAATTGATCAGCCAAGAGATGTTTAAAGTTTGCTTCTTTAGTTTCGCACTGGAGCTATGTGGTTAATTAAGATAAAAAAGTCATGGAAGATTATGTAGAAGATACTTAATCATCAATCAAACTGTTATCTAAAATATAACAAAATTCAAGCTACAGGACGGCTAATACTACTATTTTTAAGCTATGCAATGTACATCTGACCTATCTGCACAAACTTCAGACACTAAACCTGTCTTAGCTGATCAGTTGTATTTTGGATAAAAGAGAAATTATGTACATTCGTTTACATTTTTTACCAGACTATCAATTTAACTTGACACCAGCTAGTTAGCTAGTAGAATGGATCCTGCTGACATCAGCTTCTGAGAATAGAAGAACCCTTTGTTATCTGTTTATTCTAAGGGTTGGTGTCCTAGATAACCTGGTCAAGGGTGCACTGTAACTTCCAGAGAACAGCAAAGCGATGTTGACCTTTTTGTACACTTCCACCATGGCATTAATCTTGTGGTCATGTGGATTTATAGTTGGCAGTTCAGTGTTGGACAGCACGGCTTAGAGAGGAGAACTGCCTCTGGCACTGAGCCTGCCAAGGTCACATAAGGACAGAGGGCTAGGCTCTGGACTTTTGGTTGAACGCCAAGGTCGTCTCATAATGGGATACTGGATGTTAATTAAACAAACAAATTGACTTTGAACCATCAGAAAAGCATCATACTTAGCACCAAAGGAAAAAATGTATAAAGGCATCTCTCTGTTCAAGATAAATGCAGTTAAAACTACTAACCCAACAACTCTTATTGTGTTCAATAACAGGCAATCAGAAAAAGGATTTTTAGGTGGTGTTTTACTAATCTTTGAGAATTATACACCATAATGCCATTTATATACTTTCACACTTATTAAGACTGCAACATATATGTGTTATATATTTCTCAGTCCTAGATTTGCTTGCCCAAATACTACAGTTGAGAAACAAGGGCCAAACGACAACACACAAAATCCCTTTTAGGATTATTTTAAGGGCTGAGATTTTGAAAAACAAATAGCTCTCCCATAGTCCAAACTCCACAGACGATACTCAGTCACAGATTCTCTTATTCTAGAGACAAAAGCAGTTTTAGGACCATACAAAACTGTATCTGGCAATTTTCCTGTGAGTATGTAACACTGTCTCAGTTCACTCTTTAAAAATAAATGTGCCAAAAAGTGTTATTTGGAGTGATGCCATAAAAGAATCACTTTCGGTTCCATAAAGAACATTTCAATGAATCGTCCTTTAAAATACATTACTGTGCAAAAGTCAGAGAGCACCTTTGATTTATGCAATTTGCAATTCAGTTATTCATTTTTTCAGGAGATAATTCTGCATACATTAGATAAGATAATCCATTTTCATATGCAAATGGAAAAGCAAAGGAAGAATAGTGAAAAAAGTGAAAAACTCCAAAACTGCAAAATAAAATAAAAACTCAAAACAGAATTGATTTCAAAAAGAAAATTTTTTTTGAAAAAAAAAATTCAAAAGATATAGAGAAAATGGGACTCCTAACAAACATGCAAATCCCCAAAAACTGTCACCATCAGATAAATAGCACTTAAAGCGTTCATCTTTGAGAGAGAGGGGAAAATCAAGCTGTTTCAGATTTGAAAAAAATCCACAGGTGGTTCTGTCCGTCCTTCCATTGCGAGAAGACAACTCAACACTATGAATCTAAAAGAATGTCCAGTTGTCAAAAGGAAACAGACAAAAAAGAAGACACTTTGCACTAGAACATCAAAGCTGGACATGTGAAATGTGGAAGACTTTATGGACTGATGAGTCTAAATTTGTAATTAGGAACCAACTTCTAAGACTGAAATTTGGAGGTGTGGAAAAATATGCCTTTAGATTTCTTTGAAAACCTGAAAGCAAGTCTCCTGAAAAAATGGAAGCTGAAATAAAGGCAAGGTGGGCACACTAAATACTAAAAAATTACATCATATATAGATGTTAAGGCTTCTGTGTAATTTTCTGTTTAATATGTTTTCTGCTTCCTCATGCAGAAAATGAATGACCGCTGTGAATGTAAATTAAATAAATGTAGGGTGGTCACTGACTTTTGCACAGTACTATATAATGCACCAATTAAACTGTTTTCCTAGAACTGTACTTTCAAACTAAGTATGTTTTTTAAGAGTGCAGATCAACATTCCAGTGAAAGATGAGATACTTACCCTCTTTTCTCATGCCAACACGGAAGCACTTCTTCAGACGACAGTATTGGCACTGGTTGCGATGATGCTGATCGATCTGGCATTCTCTGTTTGATCTGCAAAACACAACAAAAGCATGAAGTCAGCATGAGTCTTGCACTTCTTGACCAACTCTGGTTCTATAGACCACAATCTACAGTCAGCATATCAGTGCTGCATTTTTTTTCCATTTATTGTATTGCCATCGAGATGAATCTCATTATCCTTCAGGTTAATATCACTAGACGAGCCATTTACTGCCGTTTCTCAGTTAAGAGTGGCTTCTCTATGTAGCATCTGCCCTTTAGCATTTATCTAGACATAATGGCAAATTTTATCGTGCCACTACAGAACTGATATGTCAAGGATACACAATGCCTGCACTGATATTTTCACAAAAAGCACATTTTCTTTTATCAACTGATTGCTCTTGACAAGGTTAACATGAATTTTTTTTTTAAATGAATGTGAATGTGTACTTGCTGGTGAGACGCCAGTAAAAGCATGTTAATATAACACATCATATTCAGTAATAGCAACAAAGAACATCCACTCCAGTAATGAGCAGAGCAGCTTGTGATAAAGGCATTCCAGCGAAAGGCAATTGAAGAGTCAGTGCTGATCCCTGGCTCTAATTCTACGAACACGACATAGCCGGGTTGCTACGCACCCCCATGAATCGACCCCTGAGATGACTGGCCTTGGTGGTGTGTCGTGTTAGAGAAGTTATCAAATAACTGGCCTTGGTAAATCATCAGCCCACACAACCTTGACACGGCTAAAAGAACATGCTTCCATTTGGACGTTTCTGTAGCTGCCATGGCCACAGGCTTCTTTATCCACTGGTGAAAACCAATTCTGAAACAGCACAGGAAGCTCGAAGAGCAACGTCTCTGTGGACATGACAAACTGGGCATGCTAATGTGACGAATAGGAGGAGTAGATGAACTGCAAGGAACCAGGAATGTCGCTCAAAGCCAGTGATGGAGGCTTTATGGTGTACTCCTTTATTACAGAAGACAATATGACCTCCTCTGTACACTTTGACCAATGCATGACCTCGAGAGCTAACAGTAGCTTTCTTACCCAATAATGAGCTAAAATACAATGATTTTTTCTTGCCAGTGTTACTGAGCAATGAAGTAAACAAAGAGTTTATGGCTGCAGAAGATGTTTCAGGTCACTGGAAGTTCATTCATGCATCTAATACATGAATCTATATTCATATATTACATGAATGTCACAGGAGAAAATATCTATAGTCTTTTCCTTCAGCTGTAACAATTTATTCTGTGTTCTGGAAAAATATATGGTTTATATGTTTGATATGTTTTGGCATATTGTGACTATAGATGTCCTTAACCACAAATCTTTGGCAACACGATCACTCTTAGGCATTCATTTTTCTGAGTAGCACAGTGTATATACACTTACAAATATGAGCTGAACAGTAATATTTTGGTCTTGTAAAAGCATGAAAGCGGTGTTTTGCTTATTTGTTAGCCTGTGTATTTCCTCCGTCTTGCTGTGCTGAAACAAGTACCTGAATATTGATTTCAGTAATTGAATAGTGGCACCTTGAACAGTATTCAAGTACCTGAGCACATCCCTAATTGTAAACAAAGTTGGGATGTGAAAAACAAGTGCTCAGAATTTGGAAATTAAGTATTTGTACACAGTTCACATTATATTAAAAAGCAGTATTCAGAATATAATTACTTTTACATTTTAAGGAGAATATTGTTAGGATACTAACCCAATAAATTTACAAAAAACATGCAATATTCCAAAGAAACACACTCAATGCATGTTTATGAACTATTTTAAAATAAGCACAACGTGTGTAGCAGACATACTCATTAGACAGACTCTAGATGGAACAAACAGCTTCTTTACAACTGCTGCTACAGCCTGAGTAGACCGATCAATGTGATGAGCCAGTTATTTACCTTCGCAATGCTGAGCACTTTTGAGTGATAAGCTTAGCATCGGTGCTGTACTGGACATGTATATGCATTTTACATTGGATGAATGAATGAATGAAGTTCTGAAATTGTCATCATTTAAATGGCAATTTTGCAAAATTTTCATGACACTCATATTCTTATTATATTGTAAATAGGTTACTTTTTATGCATGTATATGTTACCAAACACATTTCCAACTAGTGTATTCACTATTCATTTATTATTATTTTTTCAAAGTATTCCACCCAGCTTTGAATTTAATACACGTTCACAAGTACTGTATCATTTTAGTAAATAGATAAAGGCATCAAAGTGACATATTTCTGCAAATATAACACTATTTACATACTCTGACAGGATTATTTATTAGTCAGCTCAAACAGCTATTAACTTTGTGATTCAAAACCCAGCAGATATCCAGAGTTCATTGAAAGGTCACAAAAGTTTGTATTACTTTGTTTTTAAAGTGTTAGATTCATTGCAATCCCTTGCTATATTGGCTCAATTAGTTTAATTTCCTTTAAGGTCTGTGTAATAATACACTGTTAGATCAGGTGATCATGGAGGAAAAGGTCAATGTTGAACCCAGCGCTAGTGCACACTGATGCAGCAACAGATCAGGCCTTAGTCACTCTGTTTGGCATTTGGTTACCAACCCAGGAGGCTTTGGAAGGTCCGTATCCTACAATTTTCTTGCATTTTATCCCCTGCCTGAGGTCCACTTATAATGGTAGAGATATCAAAAAACAATCATAATTCATTTTTAGTTGACCATTTTCCCTCCTCTCATTATCTCTTAAAATAAAACAGGCTGTTTTTGTTATAGTGTTTTCAAGTTTGATATATGTAAATAAGATCTGTTCTGATTGGCTGCCCTGTATAGCACCTCATTCAAAAAGCACTCCAGGTTGAAACACTCCTTATAACTTCAGTGTGAGTGGGCAGGGCTACACTGTTGTAGGCTGAATAAGTGGATATATGTAAATGTGTCGATTTTCGTGACAGTGCAGAAACAATGAATTAACAACAAGCTGTTTTAGTTTCCATGTACGGACTATGGACTGAGGAATGAACTGTATGTTTTGAAGTAATGTTTACATACTACATCAAAGTCTTTTCTTTAAGTGAGGAAAATTCAGTTTTCCACAATATGGGCCCCTTCAGTCGTGGGACGAATACCATTTGCTAGTATTTCCCACAACTTTGCTAGCATTTTATGAAGTAAAATTATGTATGTTCTATATATATTGTGGTTAACAATTAGTATAAATCTCTAATCTCATGATTCAAATATGATTCATTAGGAAATTCAGTGCCCATGAAATATTAAACTTCACCAGGACTGGATTTAATTCTTGTGGTACAAATTGGAATTTTTTCACACTTTTTTTACGTTTCAAGTCCAATTTTATTTTGGCGAAAACATTAGAACATACTGAAGACTGTCATAATTGATCATCATCCATTCTGACATTCCAAAATCAATACTGGTGAATAGCCACCCCCGGATTTTTACATTACACCCCTCATTGAAGTGCTTTGTTTTGCATCAGACCAAGACTGTGCTCACCAACCCTTTTCTGGGAGATACACCTTCCTGTAGAGTTCAGCTGCAACACTCAAGACACCTGATCTAGCTCTTCAGAAGAGACTGACTGGGAGAATCACAAGGTGTGATCAGGGTTCAAACAGCACTCTGCAGTAAAGCTGCACAGTATGTCATTATTGCAATATTGGCTGTCGCAATATTGATATTGCAAAAGGCTGCAATGGCCAAATGGACTCGCTGACCAATCACAGTGTATTTTGCTGTGGGCTGTGAGCATATTGACTAATGATTTTTTTAATTAAAAGGAATATTTTAATCAACATATGTAGCTATATAATTACACTAAGAGTAGGGTATCTTCTCTTACCTGCAGGTATAGCTGAGGTTGCGGCGGACGCTCCTCTTGAAGAAGCTCTTGCAGCCCTCGCAGGTGAAGACACCGTAGTGCTTGCCACTGGACTTGTCCCCACAGACCACGCAGTCCACCACACAGGCCTTGTCGTCCTCTCCCCCCTCTGCATCGCTGTTCCCTGCCTGCGGGGAGCTCTCATCCTCCTCCCCCTGCAGGTAGCCCTTCTCCCCTAGGCCATTGGTGCTCCCATTAGGGTTGCCCCATCCCCCACCCACCATGGCCATCGCTGTGTTGCACCACCAGGGTTTTAGAAATGACCCCCCCAGACAGTGCTGAGTGTTCTGACTCGCCCAAAACTGTGTGTGTGTGTGAGGGTTCAGCCTGTGGACAACAGCCTGCAGCTTTTCGAATGTGAAACTGGCTCTAAACCTAAGAACCCCCTTCAAAAATGGGCCTAAATACCCTCACAGCTTCACAGCTGTTCAACACTCTTCTTCAAGTCACACTTTTTGCACTTCTTTTTTCTCCTTGTGCTCTTTAATCAACTTCAAACCAAATCCTCCTCGGCTCTTGAAAACAGCCAGGTTCACCAGGAGGTTCAGAGTTCAGAGCCTGAAATGCACAGTCTGGTCTTTTAACAGGAAACAATAAATTACACATAAACCTGCAACATGCCAGAGAACAGACACCCCCCCCCCAAAAAAAAACACACACACACAGAACACCACTCGGAAACTGGGGCAAAAGTGAAGCGCCTCTCAAGGCGAACCGAAACAGCACATCTCAGCACACAAACCCTGTGGCACTTTTATCAGGCCTGCAAAGGACAGCTGCCCTACCCACAGGGTCACCAACAAGTCAAACCAGTTCTTGCTGTGTGCAGGGTGAGCAGAGTGTGTTCAGAGTGCTCTTGTTCAGCCACACAGCTGTTTCAAGAAAGCCACCAAACACTGATCACACAACTTCAAAGTCTTCTCAGCAGCTTCTGCACATTTGTGTCAACCCAGCAGTGCATGCTGTACCTCAGCTTCACATAAAGTAGTCATGCTGGACTCCCAGAGCTGTTTGGGGACTACAGGGCACACAATGAGAGCATATCTTCAAAACACAGCTTGAGAAAACCTGCTAATGATAAACAGAGTTCTCTGTCTGCCCCGCTCTCTTTGAAGGATCAAAGTTCAAGGAAGTCCTCTCACACACATAAACACACACTCACACTCATACGCACGCACACACATACATACATTCATACATACACCCTCCCTCCCGCTCGCGCCGTGTCTTGGATCTTTCTCTCGCGGGCTCGTCCTCGCGCTCGCGCTCCCTCTCGCTCTCGACAACGTTCCGAAGGAGAACGGCAGCGTTCGGCCACTAAAACTGACGGTTATTTTCTTGAGCACGCAGACCTCAGGTCCGTCTTCTGGAGCCTCCCTCTTTCTCTCCCTCCTTCCCCCTCTTGTTTTGTCAGCGCTCGCCCATCCAGCAGAAACGGCTCCAGGGCTTCAGCTTCCTCGCATTCCCGGAAGCTGGACCGAAGCAGTTGAGCCAATTTGCGTCTTCGCTTCTCGTCTCCGTCCGCGGCTAAGAAGCTAACCGACAAACGCTAGTCCCTCAGACGGTCAGGAGAGAGGAAAAACCGAGCTGGCTCTGTGGCGGCGAGTGGTCAACAAACCCTGGTCTGTTTCTCTCTCTCTCTCTCTCTCCCCCACCTCCCTCCCTCGCTCGCTCGCTCGCTCTCTCTCTCTCTCTCTCTCTCTCTCTCTCTCTCTCTCTCTCTCTCGCTCTCTCTTTCCGAGCGAGCGAGTGTGTGTGTATGTGTGTGTGTGTGTGTGCTCAGGGATTTGACACTGCTATTCAAGCCCTGCGGTTGCCATGGCGCCGCCTGCCTTATATGGCCATTGGAGTCAAAGAGCAGCGAGTGGGCTGCTGAGGGCTCAACACACGCACACACACACACACACAGCCAGAGAGAAGAATGTGCTGCTGCCGTCCACGCTAAAGCCCTGACCCCGGCCCTGCCTCCCCCCACACACGCTCACACACAAACACACACACACACTTACAGAGACTATTAACCCCGACGCTGCCACAGCATAACAGGGCGGGCAGTCAGTAGGCTAAACTAGCCCGTATCATAGCCTAGCAAACCGCCTGTTTCTCATAAAAAACAGGATGATTTCTTTTCGTCAATGTCTATTTGTGCCCACTACCAACCCTCCTAGAAATAGTGGACCACGGTTGTACTTATCTAACGAGTGTTAAATGCTTATTCCACTTTTTCTTTTAAATTTCAGCATAATTCAATCGTTAAGATGTAAACAGTCGTAGATATAAACAGTCGTTCAGAGTTCTTTGCTGTGAAATAGCTCATGGTGCAAGTAGGCCCAACTCACCCCCTCGGATTTCTTTACAGTGGTAGAGACAGGAACCTGGAGTCTTGGTGTCTAAAGCAGGCATTTTATTCACCAGTGAATTTTATGTAATGTAGAATGCTAAAATAGTGGTAAATCTCAAATGCAAGTTTTCTTTGGGTACATGTTTTACCTTTCAACACCCTGCATGAAGTCTAAAAATAGATTCTAGGCTGAAAATCTTATCTCAAAACTATTGTAAAATGATGCCAGCATTTTCATAACCATTTCATGTAATAACTTTCAGTAAGGGAGCTATTAGAGGCTTTAAATGCTTCAGATTTCTGGTTCCTGTCACCACCACTGTGAACAGTTATGGCTCAGTAATAGTCTCTACAATGGCATTTCACGTTAAACTTCTCTGAATGACTGTTTACATCTTACCAGTTTAATTACACATTGAGAAATCAATGGAATTCCTTTTTGATAAAAGTTTACCCTGTTATATCCCTTATGTCATGTAAAGCGGGACAGTGGGGGCATGTCCCATCCACCTTTACTTCTTGTGAGTTAATTTTTGCAGGATAAGATGGTTGTCAAAAAAAGTACATAGTTAATATTATTGGTAATATTTCCCAATACATTTCCCACAAACTGGGCCAAAGTAGGACTTGTTCTCAGACTGGGAGTTACATAATGCAGACCAGTCTGTATTTCTCCCGCTGCGCACATGCATGCACATACACACACACACACATACAGCAGAAAATAACTTTTTAATCTACTTCACTTCTTACTCTTATTTATTATTTCTGTGATACACTGAGATAACCAAGCTAGTGCTAAAATGAAAACTGGCAAAAGCTTTTATCTTAAATGTGCCGAAATCACGACAGTCAATATGCTACACACTAATGCTAAGTAAGTTAAGATCAGCTTTATTTGCTGCCCACCTGCTAGAATATGTCCTCCTTAAGTATATGTTTCATTCTTGTCTTCTTGGTGCCCCCTTGTTTTTCTGCAGTTCTCTCTGCTGTTGTCTGTCTATCTTCACATTGTTCACATATGAAAATTGCTACATCAACAATGAAAAAAAGTGAAGAACTCTGTACAGCACTGCTGTTGTGTACCATATTATCATATTCACATCATAATGCTGAATTTGATACGCAAATCTCTCAAGGCTGATGTTAGCTTCAAGGCTGATGTTAGCTTCTTATTTTTGTTCCACCTTAAATAGAACAGCAGTTTCACAGTATTCCATCCAAACGCTACTGGCCCACCAAGAACTCTCCAGACTCTCCTGATTATCCACTCCAGCATTGCCCACACTAATCATACTGCATTGTTGTTATGACCCAAAACATAGGGCAACTGTTTAAGTTATGCCAAATAGGAGTCCCTATCAGTGTGCAGCATCACTTAGTGAAGCAGATAGCCTAACATCTAAGTGCACTACATTTTATTTATATCAACATTATGTGCTTATTTTCTGTCTACACTACACATCCACATATGTAATTGCTGGTAATAATATTGTCAATTAGCAATTAAAAATAGCTTATTTTAAAGCATAATAGTTTTAAAGAAGAAATAGCAGATTGCATCAGTACTCGTCTGATACTATAGGTTTCGATAACCCTACAGGAAAAGAAAAGTGGTATCATATCATGTTTGTACCCTTGCTTAAACCAACCAGTAGAACTGTTGCATATTTGGATTTCAAATCTTGTTGCGAGAATAGATCCTTATATTTTTGCATATTTTCAAAATAGCTAACTAAAATGGTGTTAACTTTCCAGCATACTGATTTAATCGTGCCGAATTGTATGTTTCAGTGTAGCGGGAGGTCATCAGTGGGCTTTCAGAAGTGCTAATCTTGAAGCATGACCTTTTCTATTTCCATTTTGATGATTAATAGCGTGCATAAAGATTGAGTTGTGTAAACGTCAGTGTAGCTCGAACTGCATGTATTTTTGAATTGTTTAGTCACTTCACTTTCATCTTCAGCAGTAAGCATAAGAGAGAAGCTCACAGCTAAGTTAAGTTTCTCCTGACCTGTGTGGTGTGTCCCTCTAATGGCCCCATAACTTTAGCATTCAAGCTTTGAAGCATGTCAGCTTATATAATACAAAAGCTAAAACGATGTTCACTTTCTAACATCTCGATGTCGTGGTGCAGAAGTGGTTGTTTTGTTGTGGAGGGAGGTCATCAGAGGGCCTTCTGTAGTGTTAATCTGAATTACAGCAGCTCTTTGAGTTAAGCATGTGTGGAGGAGGGGAGAACAGACCTGACTGCACTCCTCACTGAGGCTCTAATGAATTACATTCTAATCCTAAAACTTCATTTAACCACCCAGGCAGAGCTTTTCAATGTCTGTCCTTTTTTCTAAACCTAAAATGCATTTCAATGTAGATGCCTATTGCACTGGTAACAAGCCCTTTTTCAAGATTAGATATTTAATTTTCTTGGTTAAATACATACAATGCTGTTTAGAATATAATGTATATAAAAAAGTAAATAATTCACAAATAAATAGTAGTGATTGATTTGAAGTGTTTGTTAGATTTGTATTGAAAATTCTGAGCAGTTATTTTGCACACATATGTTTATTTATTGACTAGAGTAAAACTTTGAAATTAAAATGCTTATTAGCACATGAAATACATTTTTGAGGTGAATTGACCTCATCTTTTATTACAGTGTAGTATACGGTCTTATGCAAAAGTTGGGCACCGCTGGACAAATTACATGTTGTGTTGTGAAAATAAGTGTGCAATCTCTACAAACAGAAGACACACATGTACATGTTTAATGTTTAATTCACAAATACTCTTAATTTGCTGAATTTAACATCTTGAGGAAAAAAAAATAAAACTTAAAATGTGGCCTGTGCAAAGGTTAACTTAACTGGTATTAACTTATTTTCACTTAGAAAATCAACCATACCTGTAATTTAACTGGGGTGTTCAAACTTTTGCAATAATACATATTAGTTGTCAGATGTGATTAACAAACATAGAACTGAAAACCTAAAAAAATAGGTGTTACAGATATTTATCAGACGTTTAAATTGTAGATGGTGCTTTTCTTTGGGACTAGTTTGTCTTCAATCCTCTTCGTTTGCTTTGTTTTGTGACTGTGTGTCTGCGGTTGTGTGTGTGTGTGTCTTCTTAAGATTGGACTGCTGGCCTTTGAACTGCACAACAGGAATGCAGCTGCTCTCTGCTGGAGTCTGGTAAGTTTGGATTTGTGCATTCTTGCATTCTTACACAGTGAGCAGTCACTTACTGGCAAAAGGAATCGTCACTCTACTGGTACTGAGTTGACCCTTTTTGTATGGTGCACCAAACGGTTTATGTACACCAAAGTTTCGTACAGTAGTCCATGCTTTCTGGACCAACCCCAGCAAACACTTTATGCTAACTAATTAACCTCGTAAACTATGAGGACCTGTATACGTTCACACTGCAGTCCTTCACTCTCATAATAGCATAATGTACATACAAATTTTATGATAGTTGGCAAATAAGACATAGTAGTTATTAAATAATATGGCTTAAGATTAAAGGAATGATTTGGCTAAAAATCTAATTTACACGATTTCCTGATGCAAACAGCCAAGGCATTATTGGTGTCCAAATTTTGCTTTTTTAGTTTTAAACTGGACCTAAAAGGCTAAGTTTATTTTCACAGCTCACAGTAAAGGCCTTTACACAGCGCAATTTATTTGTGTGATTTATTCAGGCGACAGTAAATGAAATTATTTTGAACATATGTATAACTGACAGTATCTTGCACAGTAAACGCGATTTTTCACATAGCGAATAAGCAAAATTTTTTTATTCACCCTCTGTTCGAATTTGGCAAAATTCCAAAAAAAAATGGTTTGCAACTTGTGTATAGTTTTGATGCATCCGAATATTTTGCATTTACTGGGTCTCTAAACCACACTGATAAATCTGTGCAACCTTATCAAAGATCTGGATGAGGCTTGAGCAGGTTGAGAGAAGTTTTGGACATGTACTAAAAGAAAAGATTTGGATGACTATTGACTTTTAGTGTTTGTTAGCAACATTAGCGTTGTAAGTGCAGCACTAAACTAAAGAAACAAAATTTGGACACCAAACATGTCTTGACTGATCAAAAGCATTTGAAGAAAGTGGAAAATTGTGTACATTTGATTTTTCACCAAATCATTCATTTAATAAGTAGTGGTATAACTTTCTGACATCACAAGAATTGATTTAATTGTGATTATTTAGGAAATTAATCAAAGCATCATGAAATCTGAAATTTCACCACAGATTTGAACATTTTAAAACAAAGGAGAATAACTTTTAAAAATGGACTGAATACACAAATGTGAGTGGAGGAATTATTTATACAGCAGTGGAATATAGACAATAAAAACAATAAAAGCCTTTGTTTTTGGATTTTTACCTTTATTTTGACCGACAAAATTGAGCACATACTTTACTGAATATTATTATAATTGATTATGATCTGATTATCCCCCTCAGATTGATGCACCAATATATCAGTGCTTTTTACCTTTACTACTAACTGAATAATAACTGCAGTTTAAGGGGTTTTAATGGGGTCACATCAGTTTCTCCTGATATCTACCCATTGGAACATAAAGTCTTGTCATGCTGAACTTAAGGTTGCCTAGAATAACAGCATGTTGTTCTGCTACATATTTCAAAAAACAACAAAGTCAACATTTCACCTTACAAGAGCAGCGAGGCAGAGGAAGCCATGCCTAGTAAAAGTTAACGGAGCACAACAGCCATAATGTCACTGCTGCTTCAGGTGTGGAAGAATGCAGCCAATGTGTTTAAACTTTAACCATTTCATGGGCTCATGAGCCACTCGCCTGTGCAACATGAGGCTCTGGCTGTCCTCTTCTCCGCTCTGGAGGCCCTCTGACCTCAAGAGAATGGACGAGGAGCAGGAAATAAACAGTGCACTGCAACAGGCTGAAACCAAACATCTGCTGGGGTGTCGACAGAGCAAAGACGATCAATATCACCTTTAACTCCAAATCAAACATGCACTCGCCTGGTGGGAAAGTCACACTCCAGTGATTGTTATTTAAATGAGCTGATCGGGATCTGATATGAATTGAGGATCTGATTTGAAAAGGAAAACTGAATGAGTTAAAGACAGATTTTGCTGTTATTTACAATGACTTTTTGGTAAAGTTTTACAAGACATTGTTAGTTTGTGTAATTTTAAAGTAAATTACAGTCAGGCTTTTCATGATATAAGTACATTATAAAGTTCTCCCTTTTGCAAAAAGCATTTTGTTTTAGAGTTTTACAGTACTTCTTTATTGACCCCTTAAGCCATATGTGGCCCACATTTCAGTTCCTCAGTGTAATAACTTACACTGTTTGCTGAATAATTTATAGTAATAATGACATAATAAGCATGAATTTTAAAAAGTTTGTGTAAATTAGGCTCCATATCATGGAAAAACAAGTTTGTACATTCACTCTTCAGTCTATATATGGAAGCTAAGCAGTCATGAAAACCAATGTGTTTACACATTTACCTGTTGAGCCTACAGCATTCTTGCTGAAGTTATAAAGAGTGTTTCAGCCTGCACAACATTTTGAATGAGGTACAATACAACCAGAGCTGATTTATATATACAGTCATATGCAAACGTTTGAACACACCCGTTCAAATTACATGTGGGAAATGGGGAACAGAATTAAATATGGCATGTTTTAGTGCATAATATCTATATATTTACTGAATTTAACATATTGGAAAAAATAAATGTAAAATGTGCCATAACTTTTGTTTTTCTGTAATATGTTAAATTCATTAAACAAGCAGTAGCTGTGCATTACAGTGTGCAGAAATGTGTTCTTTGTAGAGGATGTACTCACTTATTTTCACTTAGAAAAACAACAAAACATGTCATTTGACCGGGGTGCCCACACCTTTGCATTTGACTGTATCAGTCCTAAAGGCACAGTCTGTGTAATTCTAAAGTATAAAGAGATGTTGGAAAATGGTCATGTAAAAATGAATGATGACTGTTTTTGTTACATAAACCCACACAGATGGAATAAGTGGATAAAAAGCAGGATATGTTATCATATATAACAAAATAAATGCTGAATGCAAATTGTTCTCATTATAAGCAGAACTGTGAAATATTTTTTTCTGTTGCACTTTCAGTTGTCTTGACTCATTTAGGTCGCGACTCACTGAAGGCCTTCCTTTTCCCATAAACCATTGAAGTAAACTGTGAATGTGTATCACTACACAATCTGAGGATGCGGCTGTGGTTAAGGCCGAGTTCACGGGTCAGCTGAGGTTCTACACTCGGGCTCTAATGGACTCTAATGAAGATATCTCTTTAGATAAATGGATTGGAGAGCTGTTTCCAACAGCAGTAACACAACCTCTCCTACCCTTTACTTTTAAAGTCTGCTAATCCGCCTCTCTGTGGTTAAAGGCAGTGAAGGCCTTGTATTCAGGCTTGAGCTAATTGAGGACACAAATGGGCCTTGGAGTTCTCATGCTGTGTTCTACACTGTTGCATTGATGTGTTGGTGTTAGGGTTATGGGACGGACACCATTGTATGCAGGATAGTGAGTGTGTAAGAATGACAAGGCATGTTTGGTCGCTTGATGGAGGTCAAACCTCTTTTTATCTTTTTATCTCAATAACAGCACTTTTCTTCTGAATGGAGAATGCGAGAGGTGCAAAGGTGAATGTAAAGGATGAGTGTGAGAGATTAATAAAATGGAGGGAGGGAGACGAGAGAAAAGAGGAGGAAGAGATGAAACAGGCTGTATTGACATCTGTGAGAAAAAAAGAGAGTGAAGGGCCAGAGCATGATCTCTTTATACGACTCGTGGGGGCAACGTATTTAAATGAGAAACGGATGTTTGGAGTAAATGAGTTGACCTTAACCCTGTGGGTCAGTGCCCTGTTTGTGTGTGTGTGTGTGTGTTTGAAAGAGAGAGAGAGTAAGTATGCTTTAGAACCAGGGGGTCCGTATTAATCCATTGCCCACCCTGTGATTGACAGCCTCTGTCATTGTTTCCCAACACTGAGGATTTTTCCCAGGCATTTGAGAATCACCAAACTCCTCACATTCAACAGATGCTGGAGCTTTATGGCACCTCGTTTTCCCAGCACTCTTTTTCAATTTGCTCCCTTGCTTAGCTTACTCATGCACTTGGGCTGTATTCTTTACCTCAAACATATGCATGTATTATATGCAGTTGTATGCAAAAAATTTAATATTTCCTGGCCACTTATGTTTTGTTGATTTTCTAGGTGAAAATATGTTGACATCTCCTACATAGAACAAACTTATAGCATTTTTCTGCAAATTTTATTGCACAATTTCTATTAATTTGCTGAGCTGAACATAAAATACAAAAGGTGCCATAACTTTTGCACAGGCCAGATATTGTGTTTTATTTTTTCCCCAATATGTTAAATTCATCAAATAAGCAGTAGTTGTGTTCTCTGTAGAGGATGTGTTAACTTATTTTCATAGATGTATTACATATATATTCATAAGGCATGTAATGATACAACAATTTCATGGTACAATATGTATTGTGGAGTTTACACTATAATACAATATAGTTTTGATACAGAAGTAAAAACTTTTTTTATTATTGGCAAACATGCTAACATTTTTTTATTCAATTTACTTCAATTTTCAGAGAAGACAAATACATTTAAACGCATGTTTTAGTAATATTCAAATTTGACATTATTCAAAAAATATTCAAATAATACCCCAACACAAAAAAAAAGAAGAAGCATAGGAATCTAAGGCTACCACTCAGCATTGCCACTTAGCATTTCAATACTACTGTACTGTATTAAACCCAGACCCAGAAATTTACACCAAGAAAGGCAGCCAATCTTAAGCATTTAAGACAAACAGACACATTTTAATCATCTGTTTTTACCTCATCTGATATTATTAGCCACTTCATACCTCACAGCTGAAAAACAGTGAGTTTATGAAGAGTTAGTTAGCTGATTCCAAAAGTAATAAATATACTAAATGATGTTCACTAGATGCACTAGATGATTCTTAGAAGAGATCTTTGTATACTGAACAAAAATCTAAATGCTCCCATTTTGCAATAGTTTGACCAAAAAAAATCCAGAATTTTTTCCTAGAAATGCGTCACACTGCTACAGGCTCTTGGTGGTCACACCAGATACTAATATGGGAATTCTGTCTCTCAACCCACCCTGTTTTTTGCAGGGTTTTAGTATTTTTTTTCTCAGTAAAATGTGCTGCGTTTTATCATTCAGTATAAATGTGAGTGTTCAAAAGTTTTAACCCTCATATTGTGTTGAAAAAAAGAATACGTCAATCATGTTATCGTCTCAGGACAATCAGAACCAGTCATAACAACAGAATATATCAAAGACATGTTTTTAATTTAGGTCTGTGAAACCATCTGTACCTGAAAGCATGAGGGTCAAAATGACCCACAACATCATCTTTGTATACGGATTTTGTATAGACCTTCCACAACACAGATCAGTCTGATTGTACTTCATGACCCTAAATAAGGAAAAGTTAATGGAGAAAAGCAGAGGGTAAACTCAAAAGGTGGAAAGAGGTCAAATTGACCCACAACATAACAGGAGGGTTAAATGACCTCCACATAATATAAACACTGTCACATTTGAAATATTTTTCTTTTATATAATTATACTTTTTTAATGAGTTTAGTTGGAATTATCATACACTTGCAATTATATTGACTGTTATTCTGTTATTTCTCGCTGTATGCGTGAGCCTATTTGACATAATTTCTGATCATTGAGAATAATTGCTGTGTGCTGAGGATTCAGCCATCGAGGATCATGATGATCAGTGCTCTACATGCAGCCAAACAGCTCGCCCAACCCTCTGATCTGCTTTATCAGGCAGGGCAAGCTCAGGCTAGTGCCGCAGTTCAGCACACCCTCCTAACCCCTGCATTCACACGCTTCAACAACAGCGCAGGCCGTCCTTTGACCCCTGGGGGTGTGACACTCAACCTTTGCCTCAACCTTCTGACCAGCGCTCACAGCTGCAGCCGACGGCCCGAGGCTGGGGGGCCCTGAGAAAAGGTGGATTCAGTAAGAGGAGGACATAAATGGCCAAGCTGAATCCTCCGGCCTCGGCCTCTTTTGTCCTTCTTTTGTTTGGCCGGACTGAAGAGCCACATCTTCACGGGGAACGTGGCTTTTGCATGAAGGAAAGAAAAATACATGACCTCTGGTAAACGCTGCTCCCCTTACCCGTGATCAGTGTTCTTGTTAGTGTTTCCTCAAAGACTTCTTTAAATGAGCAGGATTATATGCCTCTAATAATATAGTGACAGGATTTGAGAAAAGAGCACTCATCAGCAATTAGGCTGTCTAAACAGAGACTTTTAAAGGGATTTTTAAAGTCTAGCAAACTGTTTTGACTAAACATCTTAAAGGTATAGTCAATTTTTTTTTCTTTCAAATGTAGTCAATTAGTAATCTCAAATAGTCTTGCTGATGTGGTTTTTGACGCTGTATTATATCTATAAAATGGATATAAGTGTGTTGCATAGCTAAAAACAGGATAGCAGCTGTCTTGAAGCCTGAAAGTTCACATGGGAGATTAGCTGTCATTACCTGTTAGCTACAAATTGAATAATTTTAAAAACAGTTTTCAAATTGAATATATAGACCTTTTTAATTCATCCAAATTAGTTCAAATTGTTATCCCACAGTAAAAAAAAATTATTTACAAAAACAATCAAGTATTCATACCCTAGATATGTACAAGGATTATGTTATGATCTACTTAAACTCAAGGCATTAATAGAGATAGTCATAAGCGAAGTGTATACAAAATCATCATTTATGTAGTACTTTCTATTGGAAGATAGCTGTCCCAAACATTTCCTCTTGTGAAAATTATACTTACATATACTTAAATCAAACCTTTCTATGTTTTAATGGAAAATATGATGATTTTATGTGTGTACAACTGTTTAAAGCTGTGTTTGCTAGTCATGTACTGGTTAGCTTTTTTGAGTTGAATTTTTCACTAACAAAACAGTCACTACTTAAGCATTTGGTAAAGATTAGGTGGTGTTTTTACTGTTGTATTAGTGACATGTTTTTCAATCATTTGTTTCAATGAAATAAACATAATTAAGATATAAGGTCACTTGAACTCTGACTTAGAACCGGTTTGGTAGAATGATCCATATCTTAGATAAACTGAGAACTGTGCAAATTAGATTTTCTCTTAATATTTCTTATTAGAAAAACCTTTCAAAGAAACCTTTTTGCAGCGTAAAACAGGAGCCAAAATCATTATGTTTTTCAATGTTTTTAAATGTCCTTTTAATGTCTCATCAAACAGTTAGTCTGTAAATGTGTGCTTTTGCACAGAAATGTTCTTGCACACTCATTCCACAGTGTCTTTCAGAGCACAGTTTCCTCCCTTTTCCACTCCAGTGCCTCCAGTGTAGCTTTGAGCTCAGCCAGTTGGGCAGCGTGACGCTCTGTCATGGCCGTCATTTGCCGCTCTAACCTCCACAGCTGCTCGTGGTGCTTCTTGCGTGCGTTCCTGTACGCACTCATGGCTTTACTGAGGAAAGAAATGCCTGAGATTAATTCAACCATCCATAATCCATTTATTCAGTGTTATGAGCTTTCAGGCGATAGAATATTCAGCAAAAAATCAGATTTACATAATTTCCCCCTTATCCCAACATGACAGCAGTTCACATAGGGTGAACATTTTTCATTACCTATAAGCTACATCTTGAAACCTGAATTGTGTCTACTTTTGTCCATTTTTATGTCAAACATGTCAGAATCCACACAGGCAAGTCTATGTGAGATTGCTTAACAACTTGTAATGTAATGCATGATGATGTATGACGTACATATGCTTCCATTATTTGTTAGCTACATTAGCCCTGTAACTCCAGGGCAAGACAAAAGAATCAAACGTCAGACACTAAGTGTCATAGCTAATCGATTACAATGAGGTAAGGTGTAAATTGTGGTTATCACAGAACAGTGTGGTAAATATTCAATGGAATATGTTAACTATTTTATTAAAGCTGCACTGTGTAAGTTTTTAATTGGTAAAATTGAAAGAAGTATCATTACTGAATAAGGACAAAACATGCTTGTGCTGCTGAAAGTCGCCCTGTAATGACTGAAATAGTCAGTTATAAGTCCAAGGCGTCAGGTTGGATTTCACAGGAATTTTTGGACCCCATCATACACACAGGCTCAAAAAGAAAGCCCAGCTTGATGTTTAGGTCTCAAATATTAAATCAACATCACACTGATGAAGATATGATGACAATAGTAGATGATTCACTTATATCCTCAAAAGACACATCCTTTACCAAGTTTTGACTACATTCTCTTTGATAACTCTTTCAATGCACTTGCAATCATCAGATTCATCCATTCAGGGAAGGGGTCCAAATCACAACCCATATTACAGAATGTTCTTCTGCACATTGCATGCAAGTTCATATTGCCACTAGAGCAGTCTCCAAATCCCCAAATCTTGCGTATTATAGCTTTAAGCCTTCAGTTACTTTTAAGTGGTAGAGTAACTTCAGAAAATTATTTGTTACATTAAATTTGGAAGTATTTTTTTATTATATCTATTATTCATATTATTAAGCTACAGGCAGCAAGTTTTCACCTTACATTTAGGTGTGCAGCATCCATTTGATGGTTGTCCTATAGCTACTCAGTAACAGTGCCATTATTTCTTTCTCATGAAACAGTTCCAAAGAAGTTAGCTACGCTTAATATTATATTTAGTAGGCCTAACTGCATTGCTTTGCTACTTGCAGCAGCTAATGCCCAGAAGCTCTGCCCTTTAATTCTAAACTCTAAACCCTCAGCATCATCCAGCTCTTTAATGCTCACTGCAATATTCTCTCCATGTTCTAAAAGAAACCATGATACTGTACTTGTTACAGAGAGAGAGGCGGGCAACTTCTTCCTTGCTAACTCTTCTCTGGGTGGTGCAGTCTAAGAGGGCAGAGTCCAGAGAATCTCGTAAAGACGTCACTCTCCTCTTTAGTGTCTGCTCTCTGCAGAAGAGAACAGAAAAGAGATTTCAATCCATCAGTACATACTTTCTTAATCTTTAAAAAAAATTCAACAACAGTGGCAAAAATGTAGCATTTCACCAAAAGTAATGAAAGAATCCTCTTTTTATGTCTTACAGCACTGGCTGATTTTCCGTTTTCTTTCACTATAGAATTTTTGAGAACTCTTCAAATGGCTGTAGCCTCTGACCCCTTTTTTCACCTTAGCAGGGCTGCTCTGAGTTCTCTCATGATGGCGTGATTCCGTGGCCCAGGAATTCCCCCTCCGCTTTCCAGCTTGGCCCGATTCTCATCTATCCTCTAAAACAAAGAAACAAAGACTCGGTTCCAACTGGTGTGACATTTGCCCTTTTAAGATCTCATAAACCATGAGCACCAGCACTCCTACAGCTGCAGCAGAGTGCTGTTATTAAATGGGCAAATTAATCCCTTAGACTGTTGGCACATTTTTTAATTATAAATATTAAGGTGTATTTATCCAGCAACAACTATGATGTATTCAGTAACTACTATGAAACTACAATACAAGGTATGTAGCCACATGATTGAGGAATGGAAGTCTGAACACACCGATAGGTTCTTAGGGTCCTGACACACCAAACTGACTGCTGGCCGTACAGAGTGTTGGCAATGTTGGCATTGGCTGGTCATTGGACAGTTGGACAGTGCCCTGTTTGACCTGTTTGAACTTGTTTGAATAAAGCTCTGACGTTGTGAGTCCATATAAAGAACTCGTTTCTAAGAAGTTTTTCTCTATGAGAAAATTTTTACCGTTTTTGAAAATCGCATACTGTGGTAAAGAAAAATGTGTTTTTTTTCTACATATATACTACAGAATAATGACATAACTTCAGATCTATCCACCTTATTTTTCATGTGACTGCTATGTTTTGAGGTTATGGTCAAAATCTAGCTGGGGAATGGAAGTGTTGCTCAGTACTGTTTTAGCTAAGTTAAGGAACGTGTGCTTACTTTTTATGTTATTGTTTCATGTCCCATGTCTCTAAAGCATTTCCGGGAGGGCATTCAATTTGCATCTGTCGAAACAGCTGAGTGAAATTGAAAGTACAGCAAGAACAGGAATCTGACAGACATAAACCTCTCAAGAAATGCCATACTTCAGGGGACATATGAACGTGGCTTAACAATCACTGCTACTGCTGCACTGTTGTTATTAATGAAATCTGTGCCCATAAAATCCGACCAAATAAAGAATTGCCAGTTGAACAGAACTGGTTGCTGCTAACAGACCGGTTTACACATTATATTTTCTGTAAGTGGAAATATTCTGCTCTCACTAGAGTAGGCTAAACAAGTTAGCAGAAAGCTAACCGGCTAACACTCCAATTATAAAAGACCAATCAATCCTTCACAGAAGTTCCTTAAACTGAGGCATACAAAGTAAAGCATAGAGCATAAAGTAAAAATTAACAGATTTCTACATTAAACAATGCTATGTATCGTAATGGCATTGCTTTTTGGCTTTATGCCTGTACTTGACAGTGTGAACAAAATTAAAAAGTTGAAATGATTTTACTAACGTAATTTGTGTTGGCAATGAACAGAATCCTCTGACTACAGCGTTTCTTTCATGCAGTTTCATGTTTCTTGACAGATCGATTGCTAAGATTGGCATAAAAGCATCCAAGCTTTGTCCATAAGCCACTGTCCATAAGCCACTCAAAGCATTATGAGATGTAGGAATAAGGTTGATAGGTCTTTGAGGCCAGCAGTGAGAGGTTGTCCGATTGGCTGTTGATCAGTGCACAATAAGGCAAACAACAGTAGGCAAACTAGCTAGAGGCTCCTTCCACCTCCTGGTATGGAGAGTTATTTCAAACCGTACATGCATGTTGTCCGTCAGCCATAGTCACTGTGGTGTGTCGTATAGCTTTTCACAGAAGACGTGAAAGCAGTCTTGTGTTGGCCTTTGTTGGCAGTAGCTCTTTAACATCAGCTTGTGTGTCAAGGCCCTTAGAGTCTAAGAGGTTAAAGTACATCTGTAGTGAATGAATAAGTAATTTCTCTTAAAAATGTTATGTACCCCAACTTCAAAAATTATTCAGGTCCATGGGCAGGATGGGTTTGAATCACCTGGACCATGCCATGTCCTAATTTTCCTTAGCAAAAGTTAATGGAGCACCTGCTGCTCTGCTCTCCTGTCCTCCAGCTCCTCTCGCAGGCTCTCTGCTATCGCAGACCCGGCAGCGTCCTGACACCTATGGGCCATCAAAGAGAACTCCAGACAGCGTCTCTCCTTCTCCTTCAGTCTGATGAGCCCCCGCAGCTCTGACATCTCCTCCTGCCAATCAGCCCGGGGAAACCAGACAGTTCAGACACTGTGTGTAGACTCCAGTAGTACTAAGGCCTGACAGTTTTGTCAGCAATGCCAATACCAATTTTAAAGGAGCTAAAGCCGATTACTATTAGTTTTTAAATTTCTTAAACTTAAATAAACACTCACAAAATCTTAAATAACACACGTAAAACAAGCCACCTATACATAACTCTATATCTTAACATTCAGTACAGCCGTGCAAAAGTTTGTGCACCATGGTCAAATGACATTTTGTTGATTTTCTAAGTGAAAGTTCACACATCCTCTACAGAGAACACACTTCTGTACACTTTAATGCACAGTTATTCTTCATTATTGGAAAAAAAATAATAATAAAATGTGGCCTGTGCTGTGTCTTATGGTACATTTCATATTTTATGTTTTATTTTTTCAATATGTCAATAAATAGACCTTAACACTGACATATGCAGAAAAATGCCATTTTTAACTTTGTTCTCTGTAAAGGATGGGTGAACTTATTTTCACTTAGAACATTAAGAAAATGTGTAATTTGACCCGGGGTGTTCAAACTTTTGCATATGAGTGTAAATAACATAAACCATCAAAATGCTGCGTTTCCATTACCGTGTGTTTTTTCAAAATAGCCTCATATTCTTGAATATGGTTTTCTTATGTAACCTATAAGGAGACATTATCAGTGCTTTATTGGCAGGATTTCTGTTGATGCTAATAAATCTGTGGAACTTCAATATTAGCCAGTTTTATTGGCCAAATGACGTATCAGGCAGATCCCTATTATGTTCAGTTTTCAAGGCATAAC